GGCTTTGTATTAAGAAGCATCCTTTTTTCTCTTTAGGCATAATTTTTTATAATATGAATTATTTAAAGCAAAAGACTAACGTACAAAATCAGTATAACCTATGTCCACCTACTCACTTCCTAGATTGAGCAGATATTAACATTTTGCCATAATCACTTCAACTATCTCTTTAAAAGTGATGTAACAGGCTGCGCACATTGGCTCATGTCTGTAATCCCAGCACTTTGGGAGGCTGAGGCTCGCAGATCACTTGAGGTCAGGAGTTTGAGACCAGCCTGGCCAACATGGTGAAACCCTGTCTCTACTAAAAATAAAACAATAAAAATTAGCCAGATGTGGTGGTGGGCGCCTGTAATCCCAGCTACTCAGGAGACTGAGGCAGGAGAATTGCTTGAACCTGGGAGGGAGAGGCTGTAGTGAGCTGAGATTATGCCACTGCATTCCAGCCTAGGTGACAAAGTGAAGTCTCCCCGCCACAAAAAACAAAACAAAACAAAACAAAACAAAAAAAACACTATTCTGAATTTGTTGTGTTATTCTCATGTGTGTTTGGTTTTACTACATATGTATGGCATCATAAGCAACATATATAATATTTTGTGTTTTTATAATTTACAACAAATAGTATGCTGTATGTATACTTTAGCAGTTTGCTTTTTTCATTTAGTATATTTTTGAGAAACAGATGTGATTTATTTATCTTACTGATGTATAGATATTGATTAAATAGTAATGTAAATATAGTTGGAAGAATTAACACTTTAAGGGCTTGGTTTACTGGTTATTCACACTTTAGTGTTAAGTAGTCGTCATTCCTTTCTTTAAAACTAATGATGCTTGCCCTGAGAGAGTAGGAGTGCTAATTGAACTACATGTAGAACTTGAGAACTTGGGCACTAGGAAAAGATTTGCTTTTGAATCTCTTATTTCATCTACCTTCCTTGGGCAGGTCACCTAATCTCTGTAGGCCTCAAATATACATTTTTAAGGGATGATATTGGTACCATCGGTAGAGCAGATGAATGTGTAGTAAGGTCATGTATGTGTGGAGGTTAGCACAGTTCCTGACCCACTGAAAGCCCTCAATAAAGATTTGCCATTATATTTTATATTTTTAGGTGAGGAAGAATAAGGGAAAAAGGAAATTTTGGAGGATGGATAGAGGAAAAGCTGGCTGACCTCAGTCAGGGGCTAGCTTGAGAAGTCAGAATTTCAAGTGACAGGGCCACTGTGGAAGGTGGGAAAATAGAATAGCTGGGAAATGAAAAGGTACCTTTGTGGAAAGCTATAAATTATTTCAATCTTTTAATCAGATTTTGCTTTGTAAAGATATATAGGTGCTCTTATTTAAAATGGTCACATATAGGTACTGTATATATAATTTTATCATTATTTATCAGTATCTAGTAATGTGTACCTTCAGCAGTATTTGCTTCATTTAAAAAAAAAATCTTTTACCAAAATTGCCTTTGTTTTTCTTGTTTTTCAGTTATTTGTTTTGGTAGGCTGAAGTTTAAAAAACTGAATACAAAAAGCATATAATGAAGAGTAAGCCTTTTCCCACTCTGCCTCCAATTCTCCATTTCTCCTAGGGGATCAGTTCCTCTTCCACTTTTCATTAAGCACAATCATTCTAAGTGGAACCTTATTTCACCAATTCAAGCCTATTTTTTCCTCGCCTGATCTTTAAGTGTACCGTGACACAACCAAATATATATTTGGAAAGTTAAAGAAGCACATTCTAAAGAGACTTTTTTCAATTTCGATAAAATTGGATTTGATCTTTTATCCTCCCTCAAATTTCTTCCTTGAGACTTTTAAAAGTTTTCCAAAGTTAGAGCAGATCTTTATAATTGACAGAATCTAAAACACTTTTTAGAACAGTTTCAGGAAAAAAGGTAGTAGAAACAACCTAAGTTACCACGAGACTAACAATGTGAAAATCACAACTGTTACCATTTTTTTGTACCCTTCCAGAAAACGTTTTATAAACATACAACTGATATCATCAGTCTCCTTCCCCCTGCCACACTTACTTTTCTGCATCTTGCTTTGTTCTTTTGAGACTACAGATGCTCCTTAACTTACAGAGGAGTCCCATTCCAATAAACCCATCGTAAGTAAAAAAATGCATTTTGTACACCTAATCTACTGAACCTTATAGCTTAGCCTTGCCTACCTTAAATGTGCTTGGAATGCTTACAGTAGCCTAAAGTTGGGCAAAACTTTGACAACATGGTAAATGTAGAGTAATGGTTGTTCACCCTTGTGATCCTGTGGCTGACTGTGGCTCACGACTTCTGCCTAGCATGTTGAGAGTATCATACTGCTCTCTGCTGATATGTGTGTAACTTTCCACACCATTGTGAAGTTGAAAAATTCTAAGTCAAATCATTGTAAGTTAGGAGCTGACTGTGTATCTTGAAGACCCTTTTATATTTTTCTATTTGTTTCATTTTAATGCCAAAGGATTCAAAGCAACATCTTTACACTTATTAGCCATAAAAACAAAGCTTTAAAGATAGGAAACAATGTTGTATGGGTAAATTGCTTTTCTGATAAGTATACATGTTGCTTTTGCCTGATTATAGGAGACTAAAAATATTTTATGTAATTAACAAGTGATGTAAATTTGAATAGGCGTGAGCAAAGACTATAACCCCAAGTTTATTTTCATAGTTTCAAATGCAAGGTCAACACAAATACTGTTAATTTGCAGCCTTTCTGTGGAGTGCAAATGCTAAAATTGGGTCACTATTTTTAAAACTTGAGGCAAGGAATAGAAAGCATTTTGAATACAGGAAAGGATATACAGGATGACTGAAACCTCAGAGATTCAAAGCCAGCCACGACACAAGTAGCATTTTGGAGACCCAGGGAATTATGCTTAACTAGTCCTAAAAAAATGATTTAATCTCTTTAAACACAAAATAAGTATGCCTGTAATAGTTTTAAATATAGTAAAGCCTTCTAACAGTGAGAATTCAATGAAATGAGTATTTAAGGCTAACATGTAAGAAACTGCATCTGGGGAGTAAGATGACTTCCATTTACTCCTTTTTCTACTGACTTGAGCTCTTTAGACTTTTTTTTTAAGTGTAGAATTAAATAGAAGGCAATCCTGTATTTAAAACAAGACCAAAAGATTTAATTGCACATTTAATTAGAACCAGGCTCCAAAAAAATTGTAAGAGATAGAAATCTGTGATTTTGAAAGAACATCAAAATTCCTGAATAAATTTGTGTACATATCACAAATGAACCGTACTCTTAGAGGGATTCACACAGTTTAATACAATTTTTCAATGATCAATGATAATTTTCAGTGAATAAATTATTTTGAAAATTGGTGTGCTTCACTAAAAAATTAGGGATGATATTGAACCTTCTATATAAATACAAGTATATAAAAGTATATATTAAAAAAAGGACTTTCCACTTAGCTTCTTTTATAAAGCACTTGCTTTCACTTATTTCCTGAGGCACATATTAACTGTCTGATAGAACTAGGTGTATATGAGGAATACAGTCTCATTTGTATTCATCTTTAGTTTTACACTGAATAGACAAGCCACTAAGGTATTTTAAAAATAAGAGTTGCAGCTGCTCTGTGGAGTAGCCTTTCTTTTATTCCTTTACTTTCTTAATAAACTTGCTTTCACTTAAAAAAATAAGTAAGAGTTGCATTGCTAGATATTGGAAGTCTTAAAAATGTAAGTAATTCTACTTTTAGATATTTATCACACAGAAGAAACATGAAGAAGAACAAAGATTTATCTGCAAGGATGTTCATTGAAGCATTATTTGTAATGAAAAATTAGAAGCAGTGCAAATACTCTGAAAGAGGGGACTTACCAAATAAGTTATGATATAGTAATATGTAGCCATTAAGCATTATGTTGATGAACAGCATGAAAACATAGTGACAACGTGTTAGTACAAAATAATATAGTATGATCACATTGCTCTTGCCCCAAGAAAATGTACACGTGCTTTGAAAGTAGGTCAGAAGGATAAAGACAAGGAAAAGATATTTGTTGCTGTTTCTGGATAGTAGGATTATGAGTAATATTAATTTTCTGTTGGGGACATTTGTTATCAGTTATTTTCTGCAATGAATACACACCACCTTGTGACTTTTCTTATGGCCCAGTTTTTCTTAAAGCCCAGTTTTACATCATTTTTTCCTTTTTAGTTTGTCTTACCTACTCAGAATAAGAAGGGCCCCACTCAACCAAGGTAAGAGGACTACTTGAGGCTAGGAGTTCAAGACCAGCTTGTACAACAAAGTGGTATCCTGTTTCTACAAAAAACTTAAAAAATTAGCTGGGTACAGTGGCGCACGCCTATAGTCCTACCTATTCAGGAGGCTGAGGTGGGAGGATTACTTAAGCCTAGGAGTTTGGGACTGCAGTGAGCCATAATCAACAATCATCCCACAAAAAAGAAGGACCCCACAGACCCTCAGAGACCTCACACAGGGTAGTGGGAGGTGTGGCAATGGTTGGATATTGTAAAGCTGAGTATTAAACCCACAAATCCATTCTAGGATAAGCAGACTCTAACTTTACCGTTTTTGTGGGCATTATTCGTGTCTTTAAAAATTTTACTTTCTGTCCTTATGTTATATATTTATAAATGCTATACTTTTCTCAAACTTGAAATGCAATGCTTATTTTCCTGAAATTGTGGGGTAAAATGCAAATAGAAATTAATATTAATTAATTTGGCTTTTGAGAAATATCTGTGTAAAAGAACAAGGTGTGAAAACCAGGTGTTTCTTCCCCTTACTGAGTCTCAGTTATAGTTTGGCTGGTCTATGCTGAGGGAGTGTTACCAGGGGACCTACTCCTATTTGTTCTTTGTCAGCCAGAACTCATAGATAATTCTTTCTAGAGAATGAGACTTCCTCTGTACTTTATATTGCTTAGATAAATATTTCCAAAGGTTTCATGTTCTTTTTTTTAATATATATATATATATAATATTGCTTTTTCTAGATACAAAGACCTGAAGAAAGTCTTTTCTGTCCAAAGATGGAAAACAGCACTACTACCATTTCTCGGGAGGAGCTTGAAGAACTACAAGAAGCATTTAATAAAATAGGTATGCTTGAGAAAAAGTAAACACGATATTACTGGTCTGATTGATGTCAGACTTCAGGAATGGAACAATACCTTTATTTCATCTACCACCATCCAATTACCTCCAGATTTATTCCTTCTTTTTTCTGTCTAGGTTTCACTGGCTTCTTTCTTTCTGAAAGATAAGCTAAGACTGGCTTGAATTTCTAGGTGAATTGGACTTTGAGTTCTTTGATCATTTCTTTGCAGAGAATAATCCAGGTTAATGAATGACGATGTAACTGAATACACTTAACATGGTATCCTTATTACAGAGGAAAAAGTATATAAAAATACTTCCTTGTGTATAAAATGAACCCTGGCCATTTTCATCACTAACAATAACACTTTCTGACTTCATGCAGAATATTTTTTAAATTTTGGTATTGTTTTAAATGCCATATGTCTCATTTTCCTTCTCCCTCATGCGTAATTTAGAAAGTCTTAGTACTGTTTTTAAAGGCCGTATACTTATTTTTCTTCTTTTGCTTTTTATAGCCATTTAATGTTTTGTCTTTATGACATTATCATTTTGACAGTTTTGTATTTTTCTTCCAAAAAATTTTCCTCATACTGGATCTCAATTCTTCTGCAGTTTGCTCTTAGGAAGCCCATGGTAAACAAGGAGAATATAAATACCATTTTTTGCTTTAGTCTGCAAATGCATGCAAGTGAAAGGTGAACCTAGTGAAAGGTGAGCACAGTGAATAGACAGTGGGACGATGACACCACCACGTTTGCCCCTTCCTCCTCAAGCTGCTTCTCTAGTGTAATACAGCCCTCCATGAAAAACAGTCATATAGTAGATCAGGGAGGAGAAAATGATCACCGTTGATCTTGTGCTTAGATTTCTCACAAACCTAATAACGACTCAAATGAATGTGAATAAAATATAATGTAGAATGAGTTCTATAGATCAATACAAAGAAAAAGATACAAGTTTAAAAAATAAAGCACTCAAAAAAAAAAAAACCCCATAAAACTTAGGAGTCTCATGTTTTACAAATCATTGCTGTGAAATAAAGTAAGTTCTGCAAATCTCTGGGCTCTTCCATTTCTCCCTAGGAATGGCATGTTTGTCATTAGAGCATTGTATGAATATGGTATGATTTTCAGAAAACAATCGTACATTTTATAGAGAATTATAAGTAATGCCCAGAGTATTTTCAAGACAAAAATTGGGCAATTGTTGATATGTTCTGCTCATTTCAAGCATTGAAACACAGGAAGTAATAAAAATGTTTCTTGTAATTTGATATTTCTGTTACTTTGTTTTTTTTAGTTTTTGTTTGTTTGTTTGTTTGTTTGTTTTTGAGACAGTCTCGCTCTATCACCCCAGCTGGAGTGCAATGGTGCGATCTCAGCTCACTGCAACCTCTGCCTCCCAGGTTCAAGTAGTTCTCTTCCTCAGCCTTCCGAGTACCTGGGATTACAGGTGTCCACTACCATGCCCAGCTAATTTTTGTATTTTTAGTAGAGATGGGGTTTCACCATCTTGGCCAGGCTGGTCATGAACTCCTGACCTCATGATCCACCTGTCTAGGCCTCCTAAAGTACTGGGATTAAAGGCATGAGCCACCATGTCTGGCCTGTATTTCTGTTATTTTATAGATGCAGTTTAGTAGCTTGAATAAAAGTTTTACCTAGGTCTTAGTAAAATAAACAAATTAGTAATATATTTGCTTTGTTTAGCACACTAACTTTAATCTTTTCTTTTTTTTCTTTTTTTTTTTTTTTTTTTTTTTTTTTGAGTTGGAGTCTTGCTCTGTCGCCCAGGCTGGAGCGCAATGGCACGATCTTGGCTCATTCATTGCAACCTCCATCTCCCGGGTTCAAGTGACTCTCCTGCCTCAACTTCTTGAGTAGCTGGGCCTACAGGTGCATGCTACCATGCCCAACTAATTTTTGTATTTTTAATAGAGATGGGGTTTTGCCATGTTGGTCAGGCTGGTCTCAAACTCCTGACCTCAGGTGATCTGCCCGCCTTGGTCTCCCAAAATGCTGAGAATTACAGGCATGAGCCACCATGCTTGGCCACCAACTTTAATCTCTATGACTCATGAACATACTAATATAATCTTGCAATATTTATTTAATGATATTTTGAATAAACAATTCACTGATGGAACAATTTTTTTTTTTTTTTTTAATGAAACCTTGTGTTGAGGGCTGACTTTCAATAGATCTCAGTGAGGGAGCTGCTCTGCTGCATACAAAACCCCAACACCGAAGCAGGTCCTTGATGGAACAATTTTGACAGCAAGATAATTTGTTCTGTTTGAGCAAAGCACTAACATTAGCAGACTATGTACTTGCTGACTTTATTTACAAGATAAACTGCTACTCTGTGAACTCAGAAAGCCCTCTGCTGATTTGTAGCACACAACATTTCTCAGAGACAGAGGGACATGGCCATCCAATGTTGTTAGATGGAGTATTTTTGGGCCACTGGGGAGAAGAGGGGAGTTAAAATATTTCTCAGTACTGGTTCTTTTTGAAATTGTGGTAAAATATACATAACAGAATTTAGCATCTTAACCATTTTTAAGTGTATAGTTCATTAGCATTTAGTACATTCATATCGTTCTACATTCATCACCAGCATCCCTTTCCCAAACTGAAACTCCATATCCATTAATCAGTAACTCCCCACTTCCTGCTCCCCCAGCCCCAGGTAACCATCATCCTACTTTCTGTATGAATGTGACTACTCTAGGTACCTCATATAAGTGGAGTAACATAATATTTATCTTCTTGTGACTGGCTTTTTCCACTTAACACAGTGTCTTCAAGGTTCATCCATGTTGTAGCATGTGCCAGAATTTCCTCCCTTTTTAAGGCTGAATAATATGCTACTGTGTATATATATATGCCACATTCTGCTTATCCATTCATCCACTGATGGCCATTTGGGTTGCTTCCATCTTTTGGCTATTGTGAATAGTGTTGTGAACATGGATATACAAATACCTGTTCAAAGCCCTGCTTTCAATTATTTTGAGTGTACATCTAGTAGCGGAATTGCTACATCATATGATGATTCCATATGTAATTTTTGGAGGAACTGCCATACCATTTTCCATAGTGGAAGCACCATTTTACATTCCCACTAGTGGTGTACCAGGGTTCCATTTTCTTCACATCCTCACCAATACTTGTTTTCTGGTTTCTTGGACAATAACCAATTCTCCTGGGTGGGAAGTAGTAGCTCATTTGATTTGTGTTTTCCTAATGACTAGTGATATTTAGCATCTCTGTTATTGGCCAATTGTGTATCTTCTTTGGAGAAATATCATTTCAAGCCCTTTGCCTGTTTTTTGAATCAAGTTGTTTGTTGTGTTGTCGAGTTATAAGAAAGTCCTGTTTTCTTTTCAAACTGTGATGTTTATGGTTATTTAACCTAAGCCTTTATTTCCTCATCTTTAAAATGGGAATGACATTAGTAACCACTTCAAAGTTGTAAGAGTTTCATGAGATAAGGTAAGTCAAGTTCTGAACAAGTTGCTTGGCTAAGCATATGTGTTCATTAAATGGTTTCTATTAGTTCTTGTCATGTGACACCAAAACAACAGAGGACCTAGGAATGGAGCTGGGAGCTTAAGCCCCCAGATCTATTTGCAGAATCCTAGCTCTTAACTATTCTTGTTAGTTTAACATGATAGTTATTAGGCAGATAACTCCCTCAGTCTTGTTTATTTAAAAATATTTCCTACTATAGTGCTGGTTTAGAAGTAACCCAGTGTAATCTATGTGTATGTTTCAGAATTATGGGAAACAGTTCTGAATTGGTGATGTAATAATAATAATAATATTTTTCTCTAAATTAAAATAAAGAAATATTATTGCAGTATCAAGCAACTTAGCTGACTTTTGCAAAAAATACACCAGTATTTTGGTTATTGGTCTAGTTTAGAAATATTCTATCACTCTGAAGAGTATTAATTCTAAAACTTTCATATGAGAGTTCCAAAGAAAAGTTTCTATCCTAACCATTAATTCAGTTAGTATGGCAGCTCTTTTATTGAGAAGAACAAGAAATATAGGAAACAACGCAGTTATTACCTGATGAGCAAAGAGAGCCTATACAGGCGGATCCAGGCAACAAACAAAACAATGCAAAGCTCTGCTGTCAACTCTGGGCAGAAGTGTTTTGTGTCACCTTTGTTCTGAGTCGAGAAGTGATACCTAGTCTCTAGGGAAAACCCAGGGAAGGGAATCTCTCCATGATGACATGAAAACACCTAGAAACCTGTTTCCCAAAGTCCAAATATAGGTGTGAATTTCTTGAACACCTAATCTCAAATGACATCAAGCATGATTCAGCATATATAATGGTATCATGAATACATAATGAAGAAGCAATGAATTATTGACAGATGAAACAGAACTGCCACCAAGTGAAACACAGAACACAAATGCCTTATGTGTATTTTACACAGCATACATATTTTATATGGAATGTGGGGTCAGCAGATTAATTTTTTAAATTCCATCAAGTAGTTAAAGTCTGAGTGGGTACTCCCTTTTTGGCTGTTTGTGACTTCCCCATGCTTATTGTTTTTATTTATTTATTTATTTATTTATTTATTTATTTATTTATTGGAGATGGAGCCTCACTCTGTTGCCTAGAGTGGAGTGCAGTGGCGGAATCTCAGCTCACTGCCACCTCCACCTCCCAGGTTCAGGTGTTTCTCCTACCTTAGCCTCCTGAATAGCTTTGATTACAGGTGCCTGCCACCACGCCTGGCTAATTTTTATACTTTTAGTAGAGATGGGGTTTTGTCCTGTTGGCCAGGCTGATCTCAAATTCCTGACCTCAAGTGATCCACCCCTCAGGATCCCAAAGTGCTGGATTACAGGAGTGAGCCACCATGCCCAGCTCCGCACCATGCTTATTTCTCTGATGCTTAGTGATGTGCTAAAACTGGGTTTTCCATCAGAGCAACAGTACCCTTAAAATACATATGGTGGCCCAAAATCTATGGGGATAAACTCCATTTAAATATGTACAAAGGTTTTTTTTTTCTTTTTCTTTTTTTTTTTTTTTAGAGAGGGGGTCTCATTCTATTTCCTAAGCTGAAGGGCAGTGACGTGATTGTAGCTCACTACAGCCTCGAACTCCTGGGCTCTCACAATCCCCTCGCCTTAGCCTCTCAAATAGCTGGGATTACCAAGCATGGCTTAAATATGAGTGTTTAAAATGAAGCATATAGCATATTCTATATAGTTCAGGTACAGGAAAAAAGGTTACCTGTGAAACAAATGTGGAAGGCTCTGTCTGCATGCCTATGAGTCCTCCTAAAAGGCCTTCTTAGTGTACATCTTCCACAAAGATTACAAAACCTGTTTGATGATATATCTTTACAGATATTGATAATAGTGGGTATGTCAGTGACTATGAACTTCAAGACCTGTTTAAGGAAGCAAGCCTTCCTCTGCCTGGCTACAAGGTGCGAGAGATTGTGGAGAAAATTCTGTCAGTTGCTGACAGCAACAAAGATGGCAAAATCAGTTTTGAAGAGTTTGTATCTGTAAGTAATCTAATCCTTTCAGGCTACTGATAATCTTTCTTGAAGCAGAATTGTAGTAATGTCATCACTAACTTTGATTAGATCCAGCTTCAGAGGCCAGAAAAAAGACTGCTTTAAAATGATGAAGATGATGACAATAACTATTATTGTTGAAATAATTTCCACACTAATTCATAAAACAAAGGAAAAAAATTATTCTCAAATTGTTGGAATGGAAATCAGGTTTAGATAATAGTAATTCATTCCCTAGAATAACTAGGAGAGTTCAATGCTTATTGGCCATTAATATAATTGAATAAATATTTATGAAATATAAATTGGCTTTGCATTCTTTATTGGTTAAGCAGGTATTTTAGCTCTTTTCTTCCTAGAAACTTTGCTAGGCACTATGAGTAATGTGATGAGTAAAAAGAAACATGACTCCTGCCTTCATGGAGTTTATATGTGTGAGGAAGGCTACAATGTACAAATTGATAAAAGATAACTATGAGAATTGCCATGACAGAGTGGTACAGGTCCTGTGAGAGTTTGTGGTAGAAGGAATTGAATTCGGAGGTGAGGCTGGATAACCCAAGGACTTAGGGGAGGTATCCCTACAGCATGAAGACCATGATGTGTTCTGAAGAAAGAGGTTAAATGGATACAAGCGGATTGTGGGAAAATGAATAATGTGGGAGGCAGGTAGACATGACAGCATGTGTAGAGGCCCTGTGGCTTAAGAGATGGCGAATATTCTCAAGCAAATGAAATGTGTGGCTGGAGCTGAGATGGTAAGGGTTAGGAATGTAGCTAGAGAGGTAAGTCAGAATCAGGTCACACAGGGCCTGTCGAATTTTTATTTTTATCCAAAAAGCAATAGGAAGCCAAATGAAGTGGGAAGAATAGAATGTGAAGTGACAAGATCAGATTTGTATGAAAAACAAAACAATAATAACAACAATAACTTTGCTGCATGCAGCACTGACTGAATTCTGTCTTGCCAATCTCTGGTGAGTCCAGTGAGAAAGTAATTGGGAAACTGTAAGCCTATGTTATTTCCTCTAAGAGCTGACTTATTTTAATATGATTACATTTGAGATGTTCAGGCAGCTAAATATCTTCATTAAGGCATTCTTTTATCTTTAGCATTTAGTTAGTTATTTCTTAGATTTTCAGTATAAAAGATGGCAAGTCAAGAAGAATAGTTTCAGTGTGTTCAATTTAAGCTTAGTTATAAAAAATGTATTCCAGTGATTGGGGTTCAAGTATTTGTCTATTTTGTGTTATTGGTAAATTGATGAACATTATCTGTATATACAAGCAATAAGTACAACAGACTAGTATTTAATTTTGTGTCACATCAAATAAAGAAGTTTAAATAAGTATTCTTCATCTTGTCCAGTTTTTATTGATTATTTATTTGATTCTCAATTTTACTTATGTTCCATTCCAGCTAATGCAAGAATTAAAAAGCAAAGATATCAGCAAAACATTCCGAAAGATAATTAACAAGAAGGAAGGGATTACTGCTATTGGAGGAACTTCATCTATTTCCAGTGAGGGCACACAGCATTCTTATTCAGGTAAATGACTTCTCCAAATTAGATATTTCAGTCACTGATTCATTCGTTAAGTGATATATTTAATCAGTTCTAAGATGCCACTGATTGTGATTCATACCATTATTTTATGTGCCATTGAGGAGAAAAAAATACTGCAGACCACAGTATAACATGCCATCAAATTTGAAATATATCTTAGTTTCAGAGATGTCAACATGAAAAATCCTAGAATCATTGAAATCAATGAGTTCCTACTGCATGTCAGGCTCAGTCCACATCAAAAAGATTATAAACAACGAAGTAGAAGTTGCTTATACTCCAGTTGTTTATAATTCTAGGAACTAGGGCAACAATGGAGAAGGCCAACTCATTATGTGCTACCCTCTGATGGAACTGGGGATGATTTCTTTTAAGGATTTATAATCTTAAATTATTTTTATATTTACATAATAATAATGAAGCTGTAGAATGTTTTTACTTTAAGTTCTTTCCTATTTTCCTCACTGCATAACCCAACACAATTTTCTACCTAAAGATCAATGTACCCATACTGGAAGCCATGTGTTGAGAAGTTGATGATGAAGATGGCCAAGAATAGTGCTGGCCAAGTATAGTGCTGGTATCTAGATTTGTGTCCATTTTTTGTTTGTTTGTTTATTTGTTTTTTGAGATGGAGTCTGGCTCCGTCACCCAGACTGGAGTGCAGTGGCATGATCTTGGCTCACTGCAACCTCCATCAACCAGGTTCAAGCAATTATCCCTCCCTCAGCCTCCGGAGTAGCTGGGATTAGAGGCGCCTGCCACCACGCCTGGCTAATTTTTTTTTTTTTTTTTTTCTTTTTAGTAGAGATGGGGTTTCACCATGTTGGCCAGGCTGATCTCAAACTCTTGACTTCAGGTGATCTGCCCACCTCAGCCTCTCAAAGTGCGGGGATTACAGGCATGAGCCACAGCACCCAGCCGAATTTTGTCAATTTTTTAATAGTAAAAAAATTCCATAGAAATTGGGCTGTTTTCTTCATTTTGATAACTCTTGACTGAATTCAGTATTTCTATTGTAAGCTAAAAATCACAGTTCCCAATCTTGGGGGAGGATGGGATTTATTGCCATGGTATTTGTTTCTTGTATTTTTTTTCTTATTTAAATACATATACACATTTGACCTCTGGTGGTCTGCTTCTAATTCATTAGCTTTCAGAAGGAATACATAATTAGAAATATTTTCAAATCAAACCAAATATATATTTTGCTCATTTAAGATGTATACCTTCATCTCTCCTAATATATCAGGTGGAAAAGTGGAATGAATTCCCCTTTCTTCTCATCTTGTCTCATTTCATCTTGTCTCTTCTCTCTCTCTCTCTCTTTTTCTAGAAAGGATCTCTCTTTATGGCTTAGGCTGGAGGGCAGTGGCACAATCTCTGCTCACTGCAACCTCCACCTCCTAGTTCAAGCGATTCTCAAGCCTTAGCCTCCTGAGTAGCTGGGACTACAGGGCTGTGCTATTATGCCCAGCTAATTTTTGTATTTTCAATAGAGATGGGGTTTCTCCATGTTGTCCAGGCTGGTCTCGAACCCCTGACCTCAAGTGATCCACCAGCCTTGGCCTCCCAAAGTGCTGGGAATACAGGCGTGTGCCACCAGGCCGTCTCCTTTCTTCTTTTTTTAAACCCTTCTGTGTTTTAGTAGATTTTTAATAATGGTCAATTACTATATTTGAGCAGAAATTAACAAGTATGTTTTTGTAGTGCAATAGCTATGTATGTTTTTGTAGTGCAATAAAGTTTGTGAAATAAGATTTGCCTACCAAGATTTTCTCCTTTCAGAGGAAGAAAAAGTGGCTTTTGTTAACTGGATAAACAAAGCCCTGGAGAATGACCCTGACTGTAAGCATCTTATACCCATGAATCCCAATGATGATAGTCTTTTCAAGTCACTTGCAGATGGCATCCTTCTTTGGTGAGTTGAACTTCTGGTTAAGGAAGCTATGTTCTTGCTGATTCCATTGATGAGCATTCCATAAAAACTGCAATTCAGCCAATTCATTGTCTTTTGGAATCAGTAGCTACTAAGGGCTTGAAGAATTTATATTGCATAGAAAATGAACTACTGAAGTACTACTGTATATCTATTGGAAATTTTCCAAAATTTTTTTTAAATGCAATCCCTTGTTTTTCTGTTGCCTTTTACATGTATTACCATAATAATTGCCAATAATCTTTTGAGTTATTTGTCTGATGCAGTTTTAAATATTCACAGAGTTTCTCTTTTGATTTTCCAGCAAGAGAGTAGTCATTATTGACTGGAACATGAGGATGAGGAGATGCAAAGGGGATATTCCTTATTTGTGCCTAAATGAAAATAATGTTTTGATTCAGCCTTGTGATATCCTTGGCTCTTTGCATTCCGTTTTTGCTCACTGTATTGTAAACTCTGTCAGGAAATGTCTTGGTTGTTGTTGTGTGTACCACAGTCACAGTATACTTCTTTAGACAAAGCAGCGGTCTTTTCTGTAGTTTATAAAGAGTACAGAAGACTTATAAAGTAGAAAATAACAATCACAAATATCCTTACCATCCATAAATAACTTATTAACCCTCTGATATATTTCCTTCAGTCTTTTTTTTGATGTTTTCACTTAAAAAGGAAAAGAAAACCTTACCATAAGTATATTAGATTTTATAACATTAAATATAAATATACCTTGACCTCCACCTACAATTCTTATCTTTAACTCTCAGAAAAATTCCTGTTATGAATCAAATGGATATTTTCCTATTCTTGTTTTAAAAAGTAAAATTCTAAAATATAGAGACAAAATTTATATGAATTTCTCTGGAAATGGCTAAATATTGAAGTCTTAGATAAAATCTCTGGCTTCATATCTTTCTGCAACAACAGTAAGTTTAATAATGTTGATACTACTTTAGGAAGCTTAGCTTCTTAGAGAATTTCTTTATGTTTTAGGCTGCCGGATACTGATGATCATTAAGTGAAATAAAGACAAAGCTAACATATAGAAAATTCAGGGTGATGGCTGGGCATGGTGGCTCACGTCTATAATCTCAGCACTTTGGGAGTCTGAGGCAGGAGGATCACTTGAGGTTAGGAGTTTGAGACCAGCCTGGAAAACATGGTGAAACCCCATCTCTGCTAAAAATACAAAAATTAGCTGAGAGGTGGCACACACCTGTATCCCAGCCACTCGGGAGGCTGAGGCAGGAGTATCACTTGAACCCAGGAGGTGGAGGTTGCAGGGAGCTGAGATTGCACCACTGCACTCCAGCCTGGATGACAGCACTAGACTCCACCTCAAAAAAAGAAAGAAAGAGAGAAAGAAAGAAAGAAAGAAAATTTAAAAAATTGGGAGAAATGCTAAGATTACTGTTGCAGTGAGTGATGGATTTGTTTTACGAATGGGAATATTTCTTGGATTTTAAGAATTAAGTTCCTGGCATTAATTATAATTAATTAGTTATTATTATTGTTTTTTTTTTTTGAGATGAGGTCTCTTTGTTTTGCTCAGACTGGCCTCAAACTCTTGGGTTCAGCCTCCCAAGTAGCTGAGACTACATGCTCATGCCACCATGCCTGGCTTTAATATTTTAAAGAAATGAATTGTTATTACTTTTCAAAATTTATTTTGGCTGTAGGCAGTAATAAACTTAAAAAATTCTTGTAGTATTAAATTATTCTCATTTTCTCTTTAGCAAAATGATCAACTTATCTGAACCAGATACAATTGATGAAAGAGCCATCAATAAGAAAAAGCTCACGCCTTTCACCATTTCTGTAAGTATTTGTCCTTTGTTTGTAATCATGTTACTATGCTAAGAAATGTAAGACCTTCATTAATGAATACTTGGACTCAGATAAAACCTTTGACTTAATGTAATGTTGTTATCTTATAGAAACTGTTTTTTTTTTTTTTCTAAGAAATGGGGGTCTTGCTATGCCCCCCAGTATAGCTCACTGAACCTCAAACTCCTGGGATCAAGTGATCCTCCAGCCTCAGCTTCCTGAGTTGTTAGGGTTATAAGCATGTGCCACTTTGCCCTGCTAATTTTCTAAAGTTTTTGTGGAGATGGGGTCTTGCTATGTTGTTCAGCCTGGTCTTGAACTCATGGCCTCATGTGATCCTCCTGCTTCAGCCTCCCAAAGTGTTGAGATTTTGGTGTGAGCCACCATGCCTGGCCAAAACTGTTTGTTTGCTTGTTTTTATTTGTTCGTTTGTTTTTTGAGATGGAGTCTCACTCTGTTGCCAGGCGGGAGTGCAGTGGCATGATCTCGGCTCATTGCAAACTCCGCCTCCCGGGTTGAAGCAATTCTCCTGCCTCAGCCTCCCAAGTAGTTGGGACTACACTCGTGCACTACCATGCCCAGCTAATTTTTGTATTTTCAGTAGAGACATGATTTCATTATGTTGGCCAGGATGGTCTCATTCTCCTGACCTTGTGATCTTCTCACCTCAGCCTCCCAAAGTGCTGAGATTACAGGCGTGAGCCACCACGCCTGGACAAACTGGGTTTTTATTAAATAAAAATTCAGTTGGATTTTGTAATGAGATTACAGGCGTGAGCCACCACGCCTGGACAAACTGGGTTTTTATTAAATAAAAATTCAGTTGGATTTTGTAATGAATTAAATGAAAATTTAAGGTATTTTGACTGCACTTATTTAAGTTGTATTCAGTTTATATTATTGTAATTAGAGTTATTTATTAATGAACACTTGTTTGATGCCAGTGCTCTTATTCGGTGGTTGAAAAAGAACACTGCAGTTTTACCATTTCACAAACTTTTAAACTATTCTTTTTATACTAAATTGTTCTGTAGTTGTCTTCTTCATACAAATCTTATAAAAATCCAGGTATTTATACTTACCAAACTTTCCCCCTCAAAATCTCTAGAACAATGAGTAGATATTAATATTTACTGAGTACCTACTGGGTATCAGTCACTGTTCTAAACACACTATGTAAATTATCCTCCCAGCAACTTTATAATAAGGTGTATACCATGATTTTACCTTATTATGAGGAAACTGAGACACTGATAGGTTATACAGAGGCAGAGCCAGGATTTGATCTCAGTGGTCTAGTGCCAGAGCTCGTTTCTTTCTTCATTTTTTTTTTTTCCTTTTTTTGAGATGGAGTCTTGCTCTGTTGCCAGGCTGGAGTACAGTGGCACGATCTCGGCTCATTGCAACCTTCGCCTCCTGGGTTCAAGTGATTCCCATGACTCAGTCCTGAGTAGCTGGGACTACAGGCGCGTGCCACCACACCAGGCTAATTTTTTTGTATTTTAGTAGAGCTGAGGCTTCACCGTGTTGGCCAGGATGGTCTCAAACTCCTGAACTCGTGATCTACCTACCTCAGCCTCACAAAGTGCTGAGCTCATTTCTTAATCACTGTGTTAATACTGCCACTCTCATGTGGTGGTAGCAATAGCAACTATTTAAGGTGTGGTCACAACAGTAGCTATTAAAATTGAGCTACTGCTAACCTGTATCCTTCATTTGGCAATTGATTTTGCTAAAATTGTTGAATCTTTTATAGAAAGCTAGCCTTCTATAGATTGTTACCCCCTGCATATATTAGAAGTATGCTATCTCTAAAAATAAAACTGCATGATAGCCCCTCACTCAGATCCAATCTGTGGCTACTGCAAAATACTTATATAATATTTTTTTCTTTATTTTCTTAAATGCACTAATATAAATATTAAAAGTAAAACCAGGCAATAAATGTATACAATAGTTAAGAGATTCTGTATTTCAGATTCAGTGACAAAAATGGTCATGTATGTGTTCTATAAATAAAATAGATGTGAATATTTTTAATAATCGTGGATATTAGATAAAGATCCCAGTACCTGTGAAAAATAATCTGGCAACAGCAACTGGAAATAGGCTTCTTCAATAATAGTAATTTCTATTAGTGATATGCAACATTATTGACCTATTAGCAAGCTGGGGACAAGAAAGCCATGTAGTCAACATCCAATTCTGTATGGATGTTGGAAATGAGGGAACCCGTTAGTCCAAGCCTAACCATGTACCATTGTCCTATAGAAAGCAGAGCCACCTCTCTTGTGTCCCATTTGTTTGTAGTTCTCTACTGTCCCTATCTTCTCCCATCAACACAAGTCTTCAGGAAGGTTGGGCATTCAGGGTGGCTGTCCATAGTAAGAACTGGATAGCAACTTCTCTATAGGGTTCTCCTGTTACTTCTTGTTCTCAAGATGTTTAGAAGTAGCTCAGTGTGGCCACTCTATTCCCTACTAACTGGTAGGGCAATGATGTCATATTTATCAAGTAGAAACTACCATTTACTTGTAAGAAACATATTGCAACTCCTTATTTTCTACCAATTTTTAAAGTCAAATTACTTGTAAGACATTTGATATGCTTATAAAGCAAACATTTTTGAATAAAATTAATGTCAAAAGTGGTTTTTCTCCCATATCACCAACACAGACCGTTGATGAGACAAAGCTGAGTTAACTTTTTAATGCAGTAAGAGAAAATACTTGCAAGGTTTGTTAGTGTCTTGGTGCTGGGAAAGTGAGGGCGGCATTTGAAAATTGGAATTGTGATTTAAGGAAGGTCTTTCAATATGAGGGGCAAGAGGGGTCTGATCCAGACTGGGCAAGGATCTCAATACACCAGCCCAAGATTGATGGAAATAGCAAGGGGAGGATTTTAAGGTGAGGAGGTCAAAGAATCTTAGAGTATAAACTGTTATTGATGTTTTCACTGAAGAGTTACTACTGGGTCTTTTAGGCAGTGCCTGCAGTGAAAAATCAGACCTTTTGCCTAGGGTCAAGATTCCTGGAAGAATAAGATCATGCCAATGAAGACAGAGAGTAGTCATGGCAGTGAAGACAAGAGGATAGCACACAAGGTCATGTTAATGTAGGCAGTAAGACGTGGTTTTGTTTGTCATTGCCGAGGCTAAGAGTAGTGGTAGGTTTTGGTTCTTACTAGTATTGCCATCAATTTAGTGAAATTACATACTGCTTTTGGCCCACAGTACCATGCTGTCAATTGCATATGAAATGGGTTATTGTGAGATTAACACTATTATTGGCTTCATTTTTAGTCCAGTTCTTTCCCCTGCTGATGCATTCTGGGGAATACCAACTGAAGCAAACACCATTTATGCTCTTGGAAGCAAAGAGAAAAAGATTAGTGGTCATGCCTAAATTAGCAGAAGCTGCCTTTTGAAAGTTGCATAGATTTGATTTAAGGTAACTTAAAAAAACATCTGCAGCAGGAGTGTTAAAAACATCTGATGTTATTAAAAATCTTAGATTTCCACAAAATCTTTGTAATTTGCTGTTAATTTTTTCATATTTACATTTATTTGTAGTGAATTTTGAGGTTATAAAAATACTGAAGGTTTCTTCGGTTCTGCTGCTGCTTTTGGGAGTGCTATATTTTAATGAACATTGCTTGGTACTACTACAGAAATAATTCCAAATGCTTATTTCAATCACACCAGATGATCCCCCATAGATACAGCCATTTATTTACTTGGAGCTCAGTAAATCACTTCAGCACACTATAGGAGGAAGCCACTGAAATATTCGCTATGCTTTGAGAACCTCTGTGTTTTGCTGCTGTTATGACCAGCACATTAAATAGTTGCTATTACTGCTACCACATGAGAATGGCAGTAATGGCATGGTAAGAGGATGGGGATCAGACCCCAGAGACGACTGGGGTCAGACGCCAGCCTTTCCACTGTGGAACCTGTCAGTGCTTCAGTTTCCTCATCTATAAAATCCATCTTAAGAGTTACTTTAAGGCCGGGCGCGGTGGCTTAAGTCTGTAATCCCAGCACTTTGGGAGGCTGAGGCGGGTGGATCCCGAGGTCAAGAGATCGAGACCATCCTGGTCAACATGGTGAAACCCCGTCTCTACTCAAAATACAAAAAAATTAGCTGGGCATGGTGGCAAGTGCCTGTAATCCCAGCTACTCAGGAGGCTGAGGCAGGAGAATTGCCTGAACCCAGAAGGCGGAGGTTGCGGTGAGCCGAGATCGCGCCATTGCACTCCAGCCTGGGTAACAAGAGCGAAACTCCGTCTCAAATTAAAAAAAAAAAAAAAAAAAGAGTTACTTTAAAATTATCTTAAAAACTAATTGTACATCATTTTTAAAAGAAGTGCTTCCAAAAGAAGTCTTTATGAAAATAAAAATATCATGTTGAGTTTGAGGTAGACATAACCAAGTGCATGTAATATAGATACAGAGCTTAGAGTAGAAGCTCAGGAGAGGTCTGGGTGGAAATAGGGATTTGAAAGTCATTGGCATATAAAGTAACAGTTAAAACCATGTGATTTTTTTCAAATAGTGCTATTTTGGTTGTATAAATGTTACGTTTATAAATCTGAAATTTGGCAGTCCATTGTTTCTTACAGATAATTTTTATAGATAAGACCTTAGAAAGTACTTCCTCACGTGTCTTTTTTGTGTGTGTATGTGGCAATTCAGGAAAATTTAAACCTAGCTCTGAATTCTGCCTCGGCCATTGGTTGTACAGTGGTCAACATTGGTGCATCGGATCTCAAAGAAGGAAAACCTCACTTGGTCTTGGGACTTCTCTGGCAAATCATCAAAGTTGGCCTTTTTGCTGATATTGAGATTTCTAGGAATGAAGGTAGGATCATTAGAAATGTTTGGTTTTCATTGACATGTACTCGCTATGGGAAAAACTTACATTTCGCTTTTCCTCAGCTCTGATTGCATTGCTGAAGGAAGGTGAGGAACTAGAGGAGCTGATGAAGCTTTCTCCCGAGGAATTACTGCTGCGATGGGTGAACTACCATCTGACCAATGCAGGATGGCATACCATTAGCAACTTCAGCCAAGACATTAAGGTTTATATTTAAATGTTCAAATTTATGACATGAAATAAGGATGTGGAATGTAAAAATAAAGGGAGTTCAGACTTAAATTTGAATTAACTTCACAAGAACACTTCGGATAGAAAATGAAAATTTGCACTACTGTGTGAAGTAGATCCCCCAATTATACTCACAAAATACATATTTTCTATAAAACCAGATATGTTGGATTTTAATAAGAAGTACAACTGACTGTGAGAGGAAAGGAGGTGCTAGCCTCAACAGATTAAAACACACTTTCTCATTTTATATGCCACAGATCTGCTAGATTATAATGAGTATGTCAGTCTGTTCATTTGGACTAATAATTATAACTGTTTACTGCTTTAACACTCTTGCTCCCACTTTGCCAATAACCAGCTAAGAGGAAATCAGATTATCTGAGGGCACAGGGAATCAGTTAAAAAAGGGGGATCTTTAGGTATGTTCCTTAACTAGGTAGCTTAAAACACCTCTCTCTAAGGGGAGAACCTTGTTAAGGAAACCATAACAGGCATTTCTGTCTAACGACAACTTTCCCTCGGTTACTGCCTAGATGGGCATTGCCAAGCCAGGTCCCTGTGACTTTTTTCTTCTTTATGTTTCTTTATGTCCCCCCGCCCTGGCCCCACCAGAGTAATCAGTGGTGGCTCTGATTCATGTTCCCTCTTTAGCTATATTACCACCTTCAGTCAGGTAACCTTTTTCCATAATGGCCTAGAGGACAGTCTGTTAATTTGAAGTGCATTTTATTTCTCTGCTTTCATCTACTATATGCTATTATTTTTGAAAGTTTATTTGGGAGAGTTCTCTTATTCTGAAATCTCTTAAAATTATGCTAATCAAACATTTATTCAGCCCTTCCTGCAGGGCATTTTGCTCAGGGGATGCAAAGACTCAGCTTTTGAGAAGCTTGCCAATTCTACTTGGAGACAAACATATACTAGAGGAATATTTCAGTTACCTATTGCTATATAGCAAACCATATAAAACTTGCTTAAAATAATGATTATTTCTCATCATTTTGTGGATTGATGCATCTTGGCTGGGTGGTTCTTCTGCTTCATATGGTTTTGGCTAGGATTACTAACTCAGTTACATTCAGCTATCAGTTGAGCTCATCTGAAAAGTACACAAAGGCCCCAGTCACATGTCTGGTGCGTTAGTGCTCCTCCACAAGCCCTCTCTACATGGTGAGCTCAGGCTTCCTCACAGCATGATAGTCTCAGAGAGCTGGACTTTTTATGTAGAGGTTAACTTTAAGACTGAAACGGAAAGCAGAAGCTCTTAAGATTTGGGATTGGAATCCCCAGAACATCACTTTCATAGCATTCTCTTGGTCAAAGTGAATTATAAGGCCCGTCCAAATTAAAGAGGATGGGAAATAGCTTCTGCCTTTTGATGGGAAGAGTTCATGTATGTATGGGGAAGAACTATGATATTCATCTTTGGAGACAATGACATTAGATGATTTAATAGTGTGATCACAGTTTACTTACTGAGGTAGGCAAGGGGTGTCATGCACTAGAGAAGAGCATTCTTAGTTCATCCTAGAGAATCCAGGGAAGGCTTCCTGGAGATAATAATTGACCTGAATCTTAACTGATGTCAATGTTTGGGTGTCCAAACAAATGGAAAATTAAGGGAGGATATCCAGGTGCAGGAAACAGCATTACTATAAACTCTGAGGTATGAAACAGGATTGTTTTGAAGCTCTGAAGTGTGAAACAGCATGGTACATTCAGGAACCTATGAGTAATTCTGTATTATTAAAGTTATTCCATTATTTGAGATCGAGGAAATTTCTTCAGTGTGAGCAATTTCTTCCCCTAAATTCAATGATGATTTTATTCATTTTAAAAATGCCATTTCATATCTTTCCTTGAAGGATTCGAGAGCCTATTTTCATCTGCTTAATCAGATTGCCCCTAAAGGTGGGGAAGATGGGCCTGCCATTGCCATTGACCTTTCAGGAATTAATGTGAGTGCAATTTTTAACTTTTAAAATATATTGTGGTAAAATAGACATAAAAAATTTACCTTTTTTATCATTTTCAGTGTATAGTTCAGTGGCATTCAGTACATTTGCATTGTTGTGCAACTATCATCAATATCTATCTCTACAAACTTTTCATCACCTGCAGGGAAATTCTATACCCATTAAACAATAACTCCCCATTTTTCACTTCCCCCAGGCCCTGATAACCACTGTTCTACTTTCTGACTATGAATTTGAATTTGACTAGCAGGTACAGTCAAATTTAGAGTACAGCTCTCTACAGGCAGCATTCCCCAGTAGAGCCCTTAGCCCTTCATTCAAGTTGGGCGCTTTGCTCTACAGAAGTGTTTTCCATGCCCCAGGCTCCAAGCCTCCATGTCAAGCCAACTGGCTGTCATGACAGAAGAAAGGAAACTGCAGAATTGTGACCTTGAGTGTTTGTGGAATCAATCCTACATACACGTTTCCCTGGTGCAAGGTAATTGGAACTCACCAGGGTGCTCTTGTGACTGTCAGTGTATGCCAGGAAAGGAAGCAACAAGCTGTTGTTAGATTTTTAAGCAATCACTTATCAGTTTTACCAGCTTATATTTAGAAATGCACAAAATAAAAAATAGAAATTCTTAGTATTTGTGGTGTAGGAAGGATTGATACAGATTCTGACCTACTAAACATGTTTCCCAGGAATCTCATTCTTCTAGCATAAGTTATAAATACCAGGGATGGTTCTATCTAAACCAGGACGTCCAGTCTTTTGGCCTCCCTGGGCCACATTAGAAGAAGAATTGTCTTGAACCACATAAAAAATACACTAACACTAACAATAGCTGATGAGCTAAAAAAAAAAAAAGTTGTAAAAAAAATCTCATAATGTTTTAAGAAAGTTTACAAATTTGTGTTGGGCCACATTCAAAGCTGTCCTGGGCTGCATGGAACTCACTGGCCGTGAGTTGGACAAGCTTGAATTCTAAACATTAAAATTTGGTCAGAACAGACTGTATGAAAAGATGTCATGTACTTAAAGTGCAATATCCATAACATTTGGTTTTTAAGGCAACTTGAGTCATTATTAATGAATTATATCTCACATTATTATAATGATAAGTTTTTGAAACACAGTATTGCAATGCTATGCAAAGTTTGCAATATATTCAGAAGAGAACAGACTTAGTATACTAAACTATCATGTGCTCATCTCTCAGTTTCAACATCTGCCAATTCATGGTCAATCTTATTTCTTCCCTATTTCCCTCCTGTCCTGTATTTATTTTGAAGCAAATCTTAGACATCATATCATTTCATGGATAAATATTTCAATATGTATTTCTAAAAGATAAAGACACTTTTAAAGTAAAACCACAATACCTTATCATACTTTTAAAAAAATTACAACAATCTGTAACACCATCAAAATATCTAGTCAATGTTGACATTTCCACTTACTTCATAAAGGTCATTTTTTTTTTCAAGCTTATTTGAATTAAGATCTAAATAAGGTCCTCCTGAGTAGCTGGCATTACAGGTGCACACTACCATGCCCGGCTAATTTTTGTATTTTTAGTAGATACGGGGTTTCACCATGTTGGCTAGGCTGGTCTCCAACTCCTGACCTTAAGTGATCGCCTGTCTCAGCCTCCCAAAGTGCTGGGATTACAGGCATGAGCCACCACATCTGGCCAGATATTGTCATTTTTTGATGTCTACATTGGTAATTTTTCATTGTTGCTTAATTTAATAATCTATTGCTTTCTCTGATTTCCTTTACATTATTGCTTATTTTGCAACTCTGGTGCACAGAATTAGGTAGGTTATCATCTTTAGTCATTATATATTCTCATATGGGTTTGTGCATACCCATTTTAAAATTTATTTTTGTGTGTGGTTGTTTGTTTTGAAATTGTAACAAGCCTCATGAACTCTCAATCTAACAGGAAAACTAAGACCGTGACATTACATTTTCTGTACAGTTCTTCCCTATTCCATCTCTGCCTTAGCCCAGTGTGGTAACCAGAGTCTTGGAACTTGTGTTCATTGTTCTTTTGCTTTTCTTTTTATGTAATTTCCCTTTATCCAAGTGTATCCCTTACAAAATTAAATTCTTCATTTTACTTTTTAACTTCCTTTAAAGTTTATCATGTTATACTTAACTTTCTCGTACTTCTTTTTGAACTTGTATCTCTAAGAGTTACCCATGTTGGATATGTCATTGTATGAATATACAAATTCATTAATCTACTCTCCTATTTATAGGCATTTGACTTGTTTTTTTTTTTTTTTTTTTGAGACGGAGTTTCGCTCTTGTTACCCAGGCTGGAGTGCAATGGCGCGATCTCGGCTCACCGCAACCTCCGCCTCCCGGGGTTCAGGCAATTCTCCTGCCTCAGCCTCCTGAGTAGCTGGATTACAGGCACTTGCCACCATGCCCAGCTAATTTTTTGTATTTTTAGTAGAGATGGGGTTTCACCATGTTGACCAGGATGGTCTCGATCTCTCGACCTCGTGATCCACCCGCCTTGGCCTCCCAAAGTGCTGGGATTACAAGCTTGAGACACCGTGCCCGGCCGGCATTTGACTTGTTTCATTTGTTTCCAGGGTTTTGCAATTATGAAAGGTGCTGTTCCCTAAGATTTTAATTTAAAAAAAAATTTTTTTTAGAGAAATACTGATTTTAATTAAACATAAGGTAAACTCTAGGTATCCGTCATCTTTCAGCCTAAAAATTAGCAAAAACTGTTGAAACAAGGCACAGTTTTTTCCCCATATTTGTTACGTTGTGGCTCCAGTTACAAAAAAAAATTTTAATGCAAATGTTAAACATAAAAATAGAAGTTTGAGATTTTAAAAAAAGTGTATAAAAAGTCCCACAAAACTTGTCAACATTGTTCCTTAACCTACAAAATAGCACCAGTAAGAAGAGTAAAAGGTGTTAAAAACCATTACGACAGCATTTCTGAAATGCAGCTTGTCTGAACTCCCATTCCCCCTAAAAACGACTTATCGTGGAATAAAAAACAATTTTTAAATCTCCGGAGGGAGAACCGAGCTTTTATTGCCATTTTCCCTGTCATCTCTTAGATGAGGATTTTAATTTTTTAAATATGTACTTCAACTTGTTTTTCATCAAGAGCCTTCTGGAAATGTCACTCAGTGTAGAGTGGGTGCAATAACTATGCCTGGTATCCAGAGGGCACTCTACTAGCTGGCCTTAAATAAGTTACCTACAGTGTGACCAGTAGGAGCTTACTGATATAATATTTGAGAATTTTGTTGAGTATTTTAGCAAAAAGAGTAAAATATAACTCAGTTATTCCAGCAAGGAAACTGAGAGACTTTTTTCCTTTTAACCTCAAAGGCATGGTTGCTGGGCACAGTGGCTCACACCTGTAGTTCCAGCACTTTGGGAGGCTGAGTTGGGCAAATCAGGACTTCAAAACCAGCCTGGCCAATATTCTGAAACACTGTCTCTACTAAAAATACAAAAATTAGCTGGGCATAGTGGCATGTGTCTGTAATTCCAGCTACTCAGGTGACTGAGGCAGGAGAATCACTTGAACCCAGGAGGCAGAGGTTGCAGTGAGCCAAGATTGCACCACTGCACTTCAGCCTGAGCACCAGAGCTGGAGTGTCTCAACTCTGTTTCAAAATAAATAAATTGATTTTTAAAAAGGAATGGGTAAGTTGCCTTGGAATTACTACACATTTGATCTTGAGTTATTATTTGATTTATTTGTGGAAAATAAATTGCTTATAAACATGTATATCAATAAAAATTATGCCAATCAAAATTCAATTGTGACCATTTTTGTTTTATTGTTTAGGAGAGAAATGACCTGAAGCGTGCTGGACTCATGCTTCAAGAAGCAGATAAACTGGGCTGCAAGCAGTTTGTTACTCCTGCAGATGTGGTTTCAGGCAATCCTAAACTTAATTTAGCTTTTGTGGCTAATCTGTTTAACACATACCCATGCCTGCACAAGCCGAATAATAATGACATCGATATGAATTTACTGGAAGGTGCGTTCTTTCTGCCTTTAATTGACTGACTATATTTAGTATATGGTATACTATATCTTCTTACGGTATTGTCTTACTTCACTGTCAGAGATGGGAGATTGTGGTAGGAAATGCAATTTAGTGTGTGTAGATATGTGTATTGAAAATTCTGATTATGGAAGGTGGTTGCTGGTTTTGGTTTAAAGAGTATGCTGGGGTAAATCTTACATATCTTTCATTTCTCCATAAGAAGTTAGTGAAAACTATCATACATTTAAAATATTCTCATAAATGATCACATAACAGCTCTACCACCAATATGGGCAATGAATTCTCTATTAGAAAAAAATGATTATTTGTAGGTGTTTTTCTCCTTTGAAAGCTCCAGTTTGACTCTAGTATTGTTCTCTTTTTAATGTTTTCAGTGTACATGAAAAAAATTACAGTGTTCATTATTTGTCTTTTGTGTGGTCTATCGTTATCTGTCTCATAATATATAATACTTTCCTATTTTGCTTCATGAAATGCAGATTTGACCCCTCCTAATGTAGGTACTGTATTTAGTACTTTTCTATAATCTGTAAATATATTCATTCTGAATGTTCTTTTTATTAGTTCCATTTATTCTTTCCATCTGGGTTGATATTTTATTTTTTGCATTGTTCATGCTGTGTTATTTCTGTCTTAATATGCCCATAGAATGAAACACAAATGAAACTTAAGTAGAATAGCAGAACAAAGCTTTGATTTTGTAAAATTTCTACTAATTTGCCTTCTATAACGATGGAATATTATAGTTGTAAACACATTAGAACTCAATTTTGACAACTGGACTTCATGATTTGATGTAAAATTTATATCCCTCTCCTGTGATAAAATGTATCTTTTATCACAAGTAATAATTGAAAGGATTCATTTAGGTTCTGTAACAGATTATTTTGTATCAGTTAGCTATGTTATATTTACTGAACCTCATTGAAGCTTACAATATATTATAAATAATCATAATGACAAAACATTCTCAATACCTGTTCTTTCTCATTTTTTGTTTCCCAGCCTTTCTTTTTTCTCCCACTCTCACACATACCAACACCCACATTAATATCAGAACTTAAAGTAAAAATGGTGGCAGTGGTAATGGCAATTGTTGAAGGGAGAGGCAGTTGTCAGAAGAAGGCACCGATCTTAAGATTTTTCTTGGTTGGGCGCAGTGGCTCACGCCTGTAATCCCAACACTTTGGGAGGCTGAGGCAGGTGGATCACGAGGTCAGGAGTTCAAGATCAGCCTGGCCAAGATGGTGAAACCTTGTCTCTACTAAAAATACAAAAATTAGCCAGTCATGGTGGCATGCACCTGTAATCTCAGCTACTCAGGAGGCTGAGGCAGGGAATTGCTAGAACCCGGGAAGCAAAGGTTGCAGTGAGCCAAGATTGCCACTGCACTCCAGCCTGGGCGACAGAGCAAGACTCTTGTCTCAAAAAAAAAAATAAATAAATAAAGATTTTTCTTGCTAGTTTCCCTGGTTTGGAGAAAGCAGGAATTATTATTGGTAGGGAGAATTTGATGTGTGGTATTCATGATCTCAGTATTCATTCAATTCTCTCACATAACTCACCATTACTCCCTTCTTTCCCAGTGAGACAGAATGAGAAATCAACTTCATGATCTTTTTCCCCTTGACTGCCATAACGAAAGTTCCAATGTCCTTGTCACCTCATAATTAGTTTTGTGATTAATGAAAGACGTTTCAGACTTCATATATTCTTCGAAGAATATGAATAATTCATTCTTCTTAAAGGTCCTGTAAAATAAAATAAAGATTATATTTTCTACATAGATATGTAATTGAGAGGGAAAGCAGACAAAACTGTGTATTTTTCAGCAAAGAGAAATTTAGGGTGAGAGATTAGAACTTGAAAAAAAATAAGCAAAAGGAACACTACTAGGTTTTTATCAGTCTGGAAAATTTCAAAAATCCCTCTGTCAGTAGAAGGCATTGTTTAGAGTGGCATATTAAAAATGATCTGCTTTTTATAGTCACTGAATTCTTGCTAGATATCTTTTCCAACTTGCTCGCTCTCTTACTTTTCATGTTTGAATTCTTTTGCTAGTGTTCAGCATGCTTTTGGAATTTTTCAGTGTGAATAGGATTGCTAAATATTTCCATTATTATTTACTATATCTATTAAAATAACATGGGAAATATTTATCAGTCATCTTTATTTAGAACATATGTATGTCCTCATACATCTGCCAAAAATGTATTTGACTTTGTCTGTCATTGGATTATTTTCCTCTGTAAATTTGTGTTTTTATATATCCTTATGAAATTTGAAGCTTGATCTTATCACATCCCAAATTCATACGTTAGTATGTCCTCATTGGCAGAGAATTTTCTAGGGAATTAAGGAAAACAATTAAATATTAAACCTTCACATCAAATTGAGTCAGATATGTGGGCTACGTATAGAAAGATCATCTCAGAATTCATTTGTGGTTACAGAAGGTACATAGGCCACAAATTATTAGACTTTGTTCAAATCATAGCTCCACTGTTTTATCTGAGTAACGCCTGTGAGCCTTTTTTAAAAAAAAATATATAAAACAGGACTAATAAACTTAATTTGAAGAGTTACAGAGCAAGCTAAATGTGATTGTGAATGAAAGAATAAGGTATGTCAGGGAAGGAGGAGGAAAGCACTTCATATGTCACAGCACATTTATTGAGTGTTAAATATATGTTAATTCCCTTTTTCCCTTTTAATAGCCTACTTTTAATATATTTGTTATATTTATTGCTATTTTTTAATTGGTTGATGTCAACTTGAGCCTGCAAATGAAAAGAATGTTTTATAGTTCTTTCAATCTTGTAGATCAGCAATTAAGATTTTACTTCTTGAAGTTGGATATCAGGTCTAGAGGAAAAACAGATTTTACTTCTAAGATTGCTTTAGCTGTCTGTAATCCAGAAAACATTTTCCAATCTGGAATACATATGTTTTTGTAATGCTTTACCATGGCTCTTGCACAAATGCATAGTGCTTCTAACTTTGAGCATTTATTTACCAAGACACTTCGAAATGTTGTTAGATAAATAAATGCTCATTTATAAAATCTTTTACTTTCCAGGTTTCAAAAATTAAAATAATTATATAATCAATTGAGAACAATAGGAAGAAATATGAACTGCTGAGGATAGTTTCAGAACTCTATCAAAATGCAGGTCTAGTTATTTTAAAGTATTATTCATTGCATCATTAGGTTCAACAAAATTTGGATATTTTAATTAAAAATGAAACCATTATGGCACTATTAATCTTCATAATTTTAAGACATTTAAATTTTCCTAGATGAAAATAATGTAAAACTTCTCTATTAGAAAAAAAATATATATATATAGCTTTATAACAGATAGTAATAGAGAAACAACTGAGAGGTAAATTCAAATCACAGGCATCGAGCTATTGATCACAGTATGTTTATATTTATGTCACTTTGGGGACAGTTCATAGATTTAATTTGTACTTGTTTAATAATTCTTACAAATAAGGCTGGCCTGGATTCTGGAAATATTTAGTTCAGCTTGGTTCTTCTTAAAAAAAGATTCTCATATAGACTGTTCGTTATAAAGTGGTGGTAGCAGATACAACAGACTGATCAGTAGTTACCTTTTATGCAGACCAGAGGAAACAAAATTTAAGCAAGAAATTATAGGGCTATGTAATAGAGCAATAATTAAAGCAGATTCTGGGAAAGCTGTGGAATAATGGCATTGAAACCACATGAAACTATAGTGGGTAGTTTATTTCCTGAACAGTTGATACAAATAACAGAATCCTTTAGATCTTACAAGGCTTGGGTTCTATCCTGGGTGTGTAGATTTATACTGTCTTTGGCACTTAATGTGAGGATGACTGTTGCAATAGCTCTATATGAAGGAGCCCCTGGAACGCAGATGATTGTAGGTAGATTTATGTGCCAAATTGTCCTGTGAGTCTCATATGGGCCAAAAGCTAGAGAGTGACTTGAACATACCTATAATTTAGAAGAGATGAGAGCTATAAATGTTTCAGTTTTTCAGGAGTCTGGTGATAAGATGTAAACTAGGCCATTCCACTCTCCACTAACTTTGCTGAAGAACAAATAATCATAATAATTACTTAGGACTATTTGCAATCAGGAGACGAGTAGAAGGTAGACAGTGGCAGAGCCAGCCCACATCCCTGCTCACTTTATGGTATACCATAACCCACATTTTCCTTATAGGTGATGTAAGCACTGTTGGGAAGAGAATGCTCAGGGAGGTAGGGTTTAATAACAGTACCTGGCCAGGCGCAGTGGCTCACGCGTATAATCCCAGCACTTTGGGAGGCCGAGGCGGGTGGATCATGAGGTCAAGAGATCGAGACCTTACTGGTCAATATGGTGAAACCCCCATCTCTACTAAAAATACAAAAAAAAAAAAAAAAATTAGCTGGGCATGGTGGCGCACGCCTGTAGTCCCAGCTACTTGGGAGGCTGAGGCAGGAGAATTGCTTCAACCCAGGAGGTGGAGGTTGCAGTGAGTTGAGATTGCGCCATTGCACTCCAGCCTGGGTAACGAGCAAAACTCCGTCTCAAAAAAAAAAAAAAAAAAAAAAAAGAATAATAACAGCACCTGCAGGAGTTACTTCCCTGAGGGGATCTTTGAGGTCAAGGAACTGACTATAATGAAATGTGTCTTTCCTATCAACCTGTTTTGGGTCTGTGTTCCTTATATATTTTCAGTAATGACAATTTAAACTAACTCAGGAAGCCTGTAAAATAGTTATATTCCCCTCATTGTGTGTTTTTATGTTTACCTGTAATCCCCTCTCTTCTTCAGTGAATGGTGTAAAGTGTAGGTTTGTGGGCTGAGAAACTTTCCTGTGTAAAACCATAATTTGTACAAATTTAGAAACATTGCATCAGGAAAGGTATAACTTTTCTATTTGTGTTTAATGTACTAATGTTATCATGACTGATAAAATACTTTGTTTTCATTTATGTTTAGCCAATCCCTTTTGCATCTAATCATAATTATAGATCACAGAAGTGTCTCTGTTATGTTTCTAGGCAGAGAAACCCATGGCTCAGTACTAGTTCACAGACATCAGAGGGAATCTAGAAGGAGAGATTTAGAGCAAATAATGGCTTCCTAGATAGTGGGAAAAGGGATTTTGGCATTAAGAGACCTTTTTTTCTCCCTTTAAAGAAACTGTCGTATCTAATGAACCATGGCAAGGTAGGTTTGACCAGTTGGTACCTGCCAGAATGGTTTAACATATAGTTCCTGATTCCTTTTGTCCGGAGTCATCAGTGTGAGCTTGTGTCTACCTTAGGGGAGAGCAAGGAAGAGAGGACATTTCGGAACTGGATGAATTCCTTGGGAGTCAACCCGTATATTAATCATTTGTACAGGTAAATATTTTATTGTGCCTCAGTTTTACTCTCAGCTTTTCAAGTTTCAAACTGTAGGCATATTTAAATGGAACATTTTCTCAAGTTGCAAGAGTTTTAGCCAATTTTTAGAGTTTTAGGATGCTGGGAAATGGCAATACAATGGATTTTAAATGAAAGCTACTATTCAAGAAATGAATAATAGTTATGTTTTTGATGATGATATACATAAATCATTAAAGATAATCCTTACTCTTTCATAGTTATTGATCATAAAAATAATTTCAACTTTAACAAATTGGAGTAAGAGTAATAATTGATAAATTGTTATATCAGTATTTTTCTTTATGTCACTTTTCATTTATTTTTGCCAAAACCTCAATTATTACATAATTTTTGTGTATATTTTTTCTAATTTGTAAAAGTAACTTGTTTTCCTTGAATAATTGTTATAACTTATCTCATTCTTTCTTGTTTAAAAATGATAACATATTATTGATATTAGTAGGGCTAATCAATTACTAAATCAATTCTTGGGCTGTCTGGTAATCCTAACAATGTGTCTTTCTAAGTGTGGATGAGGAGAAACCATTCTTCTCTCTTTATTATACAATCTACCAGCCTGCCTTGATAAAGCGCAAAAGAAGTCAACTTCAGCTAGTTGTGTTTTTTTTAGAAAAAAGTTCTAATTAACTAAATGTATTAATAACTTATATAACCAAGAAACTCCTTAAAGAAGATGAACTAAGATTAACTCCTTAAAGAAGATTAATGTCACAACACGCCAAGTTCACTGGCTCACTGAAGATTTATGATGTTGTAATTTCTGCTCCTTGGTGTTTATTCACAATATTCTTTAAAATAGACCCATGTTTGTAAAGCTCTTGAAGAGTGTGTAAATTTTAGCTAGATGAGAGGAGATACTGTCAGTTAGACTGGATCTCCAGTTATAGTAGCAGGGAAGTTAAAACTTAAATGTTGAAGGCGAGGAGGGATTCACTTTTTATGGACTGATTTGGAAGAATGTCTGTAATATATAGTCAAGAGAAAAGAATAACAGGTCTGGTATTATCCCATTTTGTTTACAATTTGAGTGTGTAGATATTTGTATCAGAATTTTAAAATCTAGAGAGGTACATACCAAACTGTAGCCTGGGTAGGAGGAGTGGAGAATAGTAAGGAGACTTTTATTTTTAATCTTAGTAACTTAAGCATGATTTCAGTTTTTTCCAGCCATGATCATGTATTTTTCTATAACTAAAGTGTAAGCTTTATAACTCGATCAAGACAGTTGCAGGTGGGCAAAAAAAAAAAAAAAAAAAAGCGGGGTGGGGGGAAGAGTAAGCTTAAAAATAGAAAATTAAATTAAGATTTGTTGATACTTATAGTAATTAGTTCATAAATGTCAAGAACACTAGAGTTGTATTATTGGCAGTGAAGAAAAGAATTGACCAAATCTTTTAGATAAAGATAGCTGAGGTATATCTTTATTCAATAATTACCAGCATAGAGCTTCTGAGCATATAGTATTTTTTCTTGGGAAAGGAACCGTTACTTTCAGAAAATTCTTAAAAGTAACTTAATTTTAGAGAACCATGAGATGTAGAACAATAAGTAGACATCCAGTTGACACTGGAACCATGTGTCCATAGAATTGTGCCTGCAACATATTCCTAAACCCACCCCCCAAAATTTTTCGGTTCCTGCCTACAGTGTAGCCAGCTCACAGCAAAACAGCTAGATTTTCACTGACAATTCTCTAAACAAGTTATAAATATATTTCAAGAACTATTAGTCCTAGAGTTGGTTCTAGAATTCATCTTGAAGTCTCTGGAAATCATTTAAACTCTCTAGGCCTCAGTTCTATTTGCAAAATAATAATAATAATACCATACTAGACAGGAATGAGAATGAATTCATTTAAAGTAAAAAAGAAAAATACATGAAACAGATAAGATTCCAGAACCTATAGAAACACTTTAGTGATTCTTTTTTTATACAGAATGTTTCATATGCCTAAAGATAATCTAGTCAGATTTTAATTACCTTCATATCAGACTTTCTCCCTCTATCACCCAGTACTGGGCCCAGCTCCCTTCACTGCCATATGGTGTGTGCTCAGAGAATGCAAAGTGATTTAATAAGAACCTTAGGGAAACATAACTCATTGGACAAGCTGTTGGAGGAGAAAAGCCAGATAATATAACACAAAGCTAGCAGTTTAAAAAATCTATTGCTATTGCTTTATGTCCTTAGCATTCAGCATTGAAAATAGACTGAACAAGCATACTTTAACCTTCTCAGGAGAACATATTTTTCTGAATCCAAAGTAGTAATATTTTTACTTTGAGAATTCCTACCTGTTCATAAGTTCCTTCCTCTTAACCCTCATTACTGAACACAAACAGCTGCCTACTGAGTAGCTACTGTGATTTTCCTATAATTATTTTTAAGTTAAAAAATGATAATGTATACATAATACATGAACTTATTCTTATTGTACAAGTTTCAGGAAGTATGTAAATGTATAGAATAAAATAAAACGTGATTCTACCCTTACCCTCTTGTACTCCTGTTTTCCTGACCTCTTTCCTTACCTAATAGAAGTAATTGCTATTAACAGTCCTTAGCATATATAGGTATAGAAATACATTTGACTCTAAATTTTTTTAAATAAATGAGATCAAATTGCATGAAGTGTCTGCCATTTGCTTTTTAAAATTTCATATGTCTTGCAAAGCTTTTTGTATCAATACATACAGATCTACCTTATGTCTAATGGGTAGCCAAGGAGTTTATAGTATAGTTGACTCAACAGCTCCCTGCTGCCAGGCACTTAAATTATCCCTGAATTTATAACTACTGTGGCAATGAATGTCCTTGGATGTACACCTTTGTAAATATTTATGAAAACATTTTAGACAGATACGTAGACTGGAAGTTTTGGGTCAAATGCTATGTCCTGTCATTCTTCAAGGATTAAAGACATGTTCTTAAAGATCTCAGTCCATCTCCGATGTACTTAATAAAATTAGGTAGTACCCAACATTTCCTCCTCCTTTATCTGCCTTTCCTTCCTGTTTTAGTGACCTTGCAGATGCTTTAGTGATCTTTCAGCTCTATGAGATGATACGAGTGCCAGTCAACTGGAGCCATGTCAATAAACCTCCTTATCCTGCCCTTGGAGGGAACATGAAGAAGGTGAATGAAATAATGACATGGATATATTGTTACTGCTGTGATAGAAAACAAAGGATTTGGAGTTTCATGAAGTTGGGTAAAGTGTGCTCTGACCCCACAATTCCAATTCAAACCAAAATGTATTAAGCTAAACAGCCTTTTTACAAGTTTGCCTTAATAAATGTTTGCAAAGATGATGGCAGTCCCTCCAGTCAGACACTTTATATAACTATTTTCATATTTATCAAGTTGTAATACTTAATGTTCTTTGAGATGTACTGTAAATGTACTCTTATTTTACAATTGGTATAACTTGCTGAACTTTTATTGGTTATCCACTCATTTATTCAACGTTTATCAATTACCTGATAACCTGTACAGTGTTATGCAGGATGTTAAAAAAAAAAAAAGTATAAAGCATGGAGCTGGTCCTCAGGAAAGCCTAAATAAATTAGGGAAATATGTGTGCAAACAACTACGATATGGTACTTGGTAAACAAAAGTGAATATTATGAGTTCTAGGGAAGAAAGTTGAAGAGCTGCTGAAATAGTAACAGTAAAATGGGGAAGATACATGAGTGAACAATTCATAGAAAAAGAAATAATGATGAATAGTAAACATATAAAAAAAATTTTCACCCAGAATAAAGAAATGCAATTTGGGGGGTGGGGGGAATTAAAAAAAAAAAGAAAAGAAATCCAATTTAAAACAAGAAACTATTGCACTGCATCCAATGTTAGAGGAAGTATTCATTTGTATAATCTTTCTAAAACCAGTTTGGCAATACATATTAGTGATCTTCCAAAAAAATCCTTTGACCTAATAATTTCACCTTTTCCCATCTATTATGATGAAAAAATCAGAAAGACACAAAGTTGTGTGGCAAAATGCTAATCATAGCAATGTTTGTACAGCACAAAAGAAAACAATCCAGTTCAATAAAGGGTTAATAAATTGATACACCCATAAGATGAAGTGAAATGTGCCATTAAAAATAGTGTTTTGCAAGAACAGAAAATCAAACACTGCATGTTCTCACTCATAAGTGGGAGCTGAAAAATGAGAACACATGGACACAAGGAGGAGAACATCACACACTGGGGATTTTTGTGGGGTGGGAAACAAGGGGAAGGAGAACATTAGGACAAATACCTAATGCATGTGGGGCTTAAAACATAGATGACAGGTTGATGGATGTAGCACACCACCATGGCACATGTATACCTATGTAACAAACCTGCATGTTCTGTATGTGTATCCCAGAAATTAAAGTAATAATCAAACAAACACAAAAAATAGTGTTTTAGTAGTAGTGGCATGGAAATGAGCAGGATGCAAAATTATATATTACATAATATGAATCTAATTTGTTTAAAATACATAACACACACAGATGCATTCAAAAGGGACTTCTAGTTTTCCACATCTAAAGAATGAAAATGTATTCAGAGATACTGTAATTTTAAAGAAAAAAATTTAAAAAGATTTTAAAAGGGAAATACATCATAAAAGTAGTTAAATGCACAATATAATTATAAAGATTTATATTCATATTTTTCAGCATTTCTAGTCATTGAACTGCCTGTATTTTTAATTTCATTTGATGTGCATATAATTATTTTCATGGGAGTAGAATTCAGAAAATTTTATTGACTAATTTCATGTTTTTTCTCCACATTTTGCATGCAAAATATAACAGGGAAACTGAAATCGGCCATTTGTTATACCTGGAATTTTAATGTGAACTACAAATAAATACATATGCCACAAAGGAATCATATGCAGAATACTTTTTCAACAAATAAAGAATGAAACATAAAGCCTGAAGTAAATTCAGGATGTTTAAAAAATGAAGAAGCAGTACTTTCATGACACAGTATCACAGGGAATTATTTTATGGAATTTGGGCAATAATCAATAGATGTAATTTTCCTTCATTTACAAAGTTCATAAAGCTGTACCATTAAAATGGCCTTTCTTCATTATTTTCAAGTATTTCTTTTCACCGAAAATCTTGTGTCCTATTATGTAACTCTTCTCATTGTCTAAATGATCTATGCTTCATTTTTTGTCCAAAGCATTTGGTAACTAATATGGTTTGGCTGTGTCCCCACCCAAATCTCATCTTGAACCGTACTCCCATATGCATTGTGGGAGGGACCCAGTGGGAGATAATTTGAATCATGGGGGTAGTTTCCCCCATAGTATTCTCATGGTAGTGAATAAGACTCATGAGATCTGATGGTTTTATCAGGAATTCCGCTTTTGCATCTTCCTCATTTTCTCTTGCTGCTGCCATGTAAATAGTGCCTTTTGCCTCCCACCATGATTCTGAGGCCTCCCCAGTCATGTGGAACTGTAAGTCCAATTAAACCTCTTTTTCTTCCCAGTCTTGGATATATCTTTATCAGCAGTGTGAAGACAGACTAATATAGTAATGATTTCTTCCATTAACTCTGTGAGGTTGCACTCCAGTTTTTTCCTGCTTTCTTTGTGCTCATTCTTACCTTTCATAGGTTCTTCATCTTTTAACCTGACAATTCAGTATTTCCAAGGCCTGGTTCTTGGCCCAAAGCTCTTAACTTCCATAGTTATACTCTCAGGGAGCAGATTTGTTTTTAGGGTTTTAAGACCAGATTGAGTATCCCTTATCCAAAATGCTTGGAACCAGATGTATTTCAGATATTGGAATATTTTCAGTATACTGGTTGAACATCCTTAAACTAAAAATCGGAAATGCTGCAATGAACTTTTCTTTTCAGTATTGTGTCAGTTCTGAAAAAGTTTTAGAATTTGTAGTATTTTGGATTTTGAGATTTTTCTTTTTTTCTTTCTTTTTTTTTAGAGGGAGTATCGTTCTTCACTTTTGTTGCCCAGGCTGGAGTGCAATGGTGCGATCTCGGCTCATAGCAACCTCTGCCTCCCAGGTTTAAGCTACTCCCTGCCTCAGCCTCTGGAGCAGCTGGGATTACAGGGATGCACCACCACGCCCAGCTAATTTTGTATTTTTAGTAGAGATGAGGTTTCACCACATTGGTCAGGCTGGTCTTGAACTGCTGACCTCAGGCGATCTGCCCACCGCAGCCTCTTAAAAGTGCTAGGATTACAGGTGTGAGCCACCATGCCTGGCTGGATTTTCAGATGAGGGATAATCAACCTGTACTATCATACACATGGATTACCTCTAGGAACCTTATATCTCATTATGTCTCTAGTTTGGTCTCTCTCTAGATCTTAGAAGTGTTCTGCCAAATTTGGAACCAAGTATTGCCAATAAATAAAATATATGCTTTCTCTTATGTTAGCACCTGTTTCCAGTTTCTCTTTCAATGCTGGTCATATGAATATATTCTTAAGCCTCTATACTAGCAACCCTGAACTCCTTTCTCACTATCATCTCCCTCAGGAACTTTGGTCTAACTGTAAAGCAGATGGCTCTTCACTGAAACACATTTTACACATGTGATTACTGCAATTTGTTATAAAATTCTCCCACTGAAATGGGTGTCCATAGTGTGCTTTCCTGTTCACACTGTTAAATAATTCAAGTGCTATATGTTATTTTCTGTAAATTAGAAATCTATTCTATTTTTAAAATAATCTACATTCTTATAGCCTATATTTCTTTTAAACAGGCTAAACCTATAATTTATGATTACTACAGAAAGTTTTTTAAAAAATTAAGTAATAGGTTTAGCCTGTTTAAAATTGTAAAATTTTAGCCTGTTTAAAATCATACTAAATTATAGGTTTAGCCTGTTTAAAAATTTTTTTTTAAATTTTATTTTTGAAATTTTTTAGAAATAGGGTTTCACTATGGTTCCCAGGCTGGAGTACATGCTATTCACAGGCGTGATTATAGCACACTACAGCCTTGAACTCCTGCCCTTACATGATCCTCCTGCCTCAGCCTCCTAAGTAGCTGGTACTACAGGCATGTGCCACCACACGCACCTTTTCCTTGGATTTTAAAAAAGTATACATATCGAACATTTTATTATTAAAAATTATTTAAAAATATATACATATCGTTTGATGTGTATATGTTTATTCAGTTTGTGAAGTGAGCCAGGCACATGTTATAGCAGGTTCAAAGATCTTCCATTTTTGTCTGTAGTAAACTGAACTTTGGGAATTTGGATTCTCTTTTTTAAAGAATAACCATATATTCATACAAGTTCTTTTATTGTATTAGCTGTCTCACCTTTTCTGGAAATATTTTCTGACTACTGGGAAAAATGTATCTATGTACCTTAGGTTGGTTTGTGTTGTAATGGTACCTTAACTAACTTGTGGAAGAAAATTAAGAAAAGTAGTATTTTCTTTTTAATTGTTTATTCTAGAAAGTACTTAGTAAGCACTTTTGTTCCTACTGGTGATATTGTAAGATTATGAGAGCTTATAATTTCATTAGAGCAAAAAGACGCAGATACATAAGAATTTATAGGTCTTGGTGTAAGAAACAGCATTAGATGATGGAGATTTAAAAAAAAAAAAAAAAAAAAAAAAACCTATTGACTCCAGGATAGACCAAAAAAAGTTATTACAGAAAGGACCTAACTGGACTTATATCACTGGAAAGAAGTATGTGTGTGTGTACAGTTGATGGAGTGGTAAATAATTTATTAGTTGTTTATGTATCAGATTCTTACTTTAGGCAGGGCATTGTGCTGGGAGTGGGGGAAGTATGATATAGATTTGTGCATATAAAAATTTTTGTCCTTTAGAAGAAGCTTATACTATAGTTGAAAGAAAACAAATGAAAGCCTACGTGTAAGTAGAAGATGATACATAAACATTACAAAATAAACATTCTTAGGACTTCATGCAAAGGATAAATCATTATTAGCTCATATACGCTTAAGGTTAAGCCTTTGTTGAAGAAAGTAGGCCAAATGCTGAATGTCAGAGGATGAGTAAGATCTGGGTAAAGAATATAGGAGGTGAAGTTAGATTCTTAATAAAACAATTACTTTCTTCTCTATTTTTAAATTTTAAATATAGATCTAGACAAAATATCCTCTGTTAACTTCTATTCAAGAAAATCAGGAAACCTAGGTTTTTAGTCACAGATGTGTCACTGATAAGCTATTTCATCTTGGATAGTCAACCCTTTTTTTTTTTTTTTTTTTGAGATGAAGTTTTTGCCTATTGCCTCGGCTGGAGTGCAATGGCACAATCTTGGCTCACTGCAACCTCTTCCACCTGGGTTCAAGCGATTTCCTGCCTCAGCTTCCCAAGTAGTTGGGATTACAGGCATCTGCCACCACACTGATTTTTGTATTTTTAGTAGAGCCCCTGAGGTTTAACCATGTTGGCCAGGCTGGTCTCGAACTCTTGCTCTCAAGTGATCCACCTGCCTCGGCCTCCCAAAGTGCTAGGATTACAGGTGTGAGCCACCACACCAGGCCTGGATAGTTAAGACTTTGAGTAGGAGGGGATCTTAAAACTTTCCAGCCAGTAGTTCATCATTCTAGGTTAACCCAATGCTTTAATATCTTCAACTAGAAAATAGAAATAATTATGTCCTTGCTTTCCCTGGGTTATTTTTATGAAATGAAATTTGGTCATATAAATTTGAGGTGTCATCACGATTATTTTTTGGATGGCTGAACTAGGCTGGTATATTCATAAGATTTGTTTTTAAAAATCTGTTTTTATACCCAAACTTTTACATATTTATAGATTGAAAACTGTAACTATGCAGTGGAACTTGGGAAGAACAAGGCCAAATTCTCCTTAGTTGGCATTGCTGGGCAGGACCTAAATGAAGGGAATTCAACACTTACCCTGGCATTGGTATGGCAGCTGATGAGAAGGTAAAGGCTCAAATGTTTGTAGCAACACTGCCTGTTTCCTCCAACAAGTAATCTGAACTAAACTTTTAGCTATTTTTAAACAATAATAAACATAAATTAGAAGAAATATACAATGCAAAATATTTTAATTTTTAAAGGATTTAGTTATTTTTTTTGTAAATTATATTTTTTTAAAAAATGGGTCAATATCTAGAAACACTATCACCATTATTAATGCCTGTTAAAAATGGCTTTGTAAGTAATTAAGTTTTAAAAATACCCTGTAGTAGTTTTTGTTTCTGATTAGTGAGGTTTGTAACTTTGGAATGTAACTGGGTGTAAATGCCAGACTAAAATTAGAAATATTTATTAGAACTGAACTTTTCCTTAAGTCTTCATCTAAATGTTGATATAAATTATGTGAAAGCAAATTTCACCCTTTTCAGTCTCAAATGTACACCTTTTCTGTTGCAGGTACACATTGAATGTGTTATCGGATCTTGGAGAGGGTGAAAAAGTAAATGATGAAATTATTATTAAATGGGTCAATCAGACTCTTAAAAGTGCAAACAAAAATACTTCTATTTCCAGCTTCAAGGTATTCAAGAGTCTTTAAAAAAATTTTTTGTAGCTATAGGAAGAAATTTTTATTGGGAATTACATTGGTTTGGTTTAGAATTATATTAATGTTGTGTGTCAGAAACATGATTTATGAGTTTAGGTATACTAATTATTTGGCATGTGTAAACTTGAAATACTCAGTTTTAATTACTAAATTTTTTATTAGTTGTCCAGTTAAGTATAAATGCAGGTCAATATTATCTGACTCTGGTAATCTAATCTTAAAAAATAAACAGAATAAAGCCAAAAAAAAAAAAAAAAATCCAGTTGTCAAATGTAAAAGATAAGAAGCCATTGTTTATATAGGACCTATAATGTTTTGTGCTCCCTAGCAGCAGTCTCAGAATTGTATTGACATCATTTCCAAGGCATAACAGAGGCAGCCAAACCGATTCAAGTGGGAATTGAGAAAACTGGTAGGAAAAAAAAATTTTGTCATCTGGCTTCATAATGGCACTTAACACTCACTCCTGAGCATTTGTGGATGATTCATAAAGCACTCAATGTAATCTGTACATACATACCCACTAATTTTCATGCATTTCCATTGTGTTTTGCTTTTGCATGCAAGCCGATGTTAGCTACAAATAAGCATGTCTGCTTGTACAACATTGATTCAGTGAGCCTTGTGTTTGTGATTTTATTACGTATGAGAAACTAGCAATCAATTTGTATTTTTTTCTGAAATAAAGTACAAAGAGATGAAACACTAAGCTATCCTATGAGATACCCATTTTTATCTATCTCTGTCTGCCTTTGCTCTGTATGCTTAAAAACATTGCAAAGTGAAAGAAATGTCAGAAATTTATAAATGCAGTCTTCTCATGTTTGCCAAAAATGGAGGCCCAGAGCAGTTTAAGCAGGACAGCTGGATATTGGCAGGGATGTTGCCTGATCCTAGTTGAAGTGCTTTTCTTTCCCACCTTTACTATCTTGGAAGAAACTAATGACATTGAGTTTTTGTTACTGCCTTTTTTTTTTTTTTTAATAATTTTCAGTTCATGATTTGTCTCTATGTGTTTTAGATGTAAAACACAAAAATATAAAATACCAATGGAAATTTTATTATAAAATTCTCTAATTGGCAGTTCTTTAAAATTGTTATGTTGAAATTATATGCATTTGTACTTTTATAGGAAATATTAAGCATGTATATAGTTCATTACAATGAAAAAATATTTAGGAGCAAATTAATATTTATTGAGCTCTTATTAAGTAACTTTTCTAAGTAAAGAAAAAGGTATAAAATATAAGAAATTAATTTGGCCCTCTGAGTGTTCACCATTTACTTTAAAGACAAAGATTTGTAGCTGAGAAGGTAACATTACTATAGAGTAAATGATAAAATCCAAGTAATACAACTAATATTTTGTATGAAAAATCTGATCTTTTCCAATTGAATGGTCAGTGAAGAGCAGATAAAGACAGCTCGATCTGAACATCATAGATGGTGGGACGATTTGAACTGATGGAGAGAAAGGGGGAAAATCCTATTTCTCCTAACTTTCTGACACATGCCTTTATTCAAGACACAGGGTCCATCTTGAATAAAGGCATGTGCCAGAAAGTTAGGAGAAATAGGATGGCTCCCAAAGGATGATGTACAAGATGTAAATTGGGTCAAGATTGTGGAGGAATTGGGCTTAAATAAAAGATATTGAGTGAAGGGGGAAAAGAAAGGCAATTATTTTAGGAATACTAATCTGAATGTGGTGAGCAGAGTGGGGACAGAGAACAGTGTAACTACAAGGACAGTGCAAAAGAATCCAAGGCAGTACTCAAGGTGTGAAGTAATAAGGGGTTTGAGGCTGGCAATGGAAATAGTAAGATTAGAACACTGTAAGTTATTGCAAAAGAACTAGGTTTGGCTTCTTGATTTTGGGAAGAAGAGGGGAGAGAGGAGTCAAAACTCTTGATGTTTTGGGCGTAGGTAACTGGAAAACAGATAACACTAACAGAAATGGGGATGTCATGAGATACAGCTGCTTCCTGGAAAAGATGATGAATTCAGTTTTAAGCTTGAGTTTAAGGTAATTTTAGGGAAATGGGGTGGGGGTGAAAGGAGACATTAAAACTGGAAAGACAGACTTGGTGATCAGTTGAGTAAGAGTTGAGAAATTGGAGTGCATTAACTTTTAAGGGAGAGCAGCCATGAGAAAAAGCTGACTTGAGAGTATGGCTCTACTTAGAACTGAGGAGGCAGAAACATTGCAAAAGTGCTTAGCATTTAGTATATGCCTAATCTTTAAAGAGAGTGCAAATGGTTAAGAAATGTGGCAATGAATGCTAAAAAATAGTTGAGGTTAGGGAGGTTTTTCCAGCTACAGAGGCATTATGTTTGAAGGCTATAAGAAATGGCACTAGCAAAAAAAAAAACAAAAACAAAAAACCATTTTAATCATAATCTAGGCAGCACTGTAAGAATTTCAGAAAAGACAAATTTACCCTTTTAAGCCACAAAGTGATTTTCCCTTGCTAAGAAGACAGAGAAGGTGGTATATCAGCAAATAATAAGGATAATTGCCATTTATTGAGTTTTTTGTGTTACTGTGTGAAGCACTTTGAACATTGTTTCTTTTAATTCTCTAAATACTCTGAGCAAAAAGGTGAGCATTAGAGAAGTTAAATAACTGTCCACTGTCATACAACTTTTAAGCAGAACAGTTGGGTTTCATATCTAGGTCCAGCTATTCTATGTACAAGTTGAAAGCCAGGCTTTGGAGTTGTATGGCTCTGGGTTGACTCTTGCTGAGCTACTGATTAGCTGTGTAACATACTGCTCATTTATTCCATAAATAGCCAAAGCTTACCCTGTGTCAGGTGCCTTGCTAGTCGCTGTGGCTATATAGTGCCCTCAAAGAGCTCACTATTCAGGGAAGGTGGCAAATAAGAAAAGAATCACAGTATGGGGTGTCAGCAGTACTATATAAATCAGCTAATGGGGGAGTGTGGGAGCACATGAGAAGGGCATCTGTTTTACAGAAACCTTAGCAGTTTATACTAACGGTGGGGCTAATCTACTGATGAATAAAACAGAACTTACTTCTGGCTCAGCATTTATATCTGTGTGACCATGGGCAAGTTATTAATTTCTCTGTTCTTTAGTTTCCCCATATCTAAAATGGGGAAATTAATAATCCCTATCTTTTAGGATTGTTGTTAGACTATGTAAGTTAAGAAAATGTAAAGAGCTTAACAGTACCTAGCACATATGAAGGACTCAATAAATGGGGATTACCACACTGTTGGCATTGCTAATATAAAAAGGGCCTCATGTGGCAGTTGGGGGAGTGTTCTGCTGAGTCTTTTAGGGAAGTCTGGTGGCCACATCACTGTTTTTCCACTTTTATTTTTTAAAATGACAGAAACAGCAATGGAACGAAATGTTGTAATAATACGTATCAAATGAAGGGAAAAACATGACACAGTTCATTATCTTGAAAATCAAGCTCTAGGCTAATTCTAGATTAAGATATTGAAATTCTTCTTGCTGAAATAATTTCCTGATGATTAACTTAAGGAAGTAAAAGTAAAAATAATGGTAATGTATTTATATAGTAATGTAAGGATTTTCACTATAACCCCTTTCCCTTTGCAAAAGTAAAATGTTTTTCACTGATAATGTACAAATCAGAGGAATCGGAAGACAGGCCTATTTTCTTGGTAACAAGAAGATAAGAGATCTGACACAATCTTTAGAAACTTAAATTTTTCATTCAACTCAGTAGAAGCTTAACCCAAGGTAACTCATAAGAAAATGGGTGTGAAAAATACTTGTTTCCTAAATCTAAATGAAATATTTTAAATACCACAAATATGTAAATCAGGAATCCAATTATAGCACAATTAAACAAGTCACTTGTCTTTTTAAAAAATAATCGTATTTGAAAGGTAAGTCCACAGAAATTAAAAATTTATTATAGAATGATACAAATATTTTTAGAAAGTATAATACAGTACACCTTTCGAGTCCTCTAGAAAGCTTACTAAAAATGTAGATTCCTAGCCTTATTCATAGATAACCTGATATTAATTTGAGTGGGGCTAGATAGTGGGTCTGCAGACTATATATTGAGCAAACAGGTATGACAATTTCTCAGAAACAGAAGATGTGAAAAGCAGACCCAGATTACCAGCATCGGATAGACTTAAAGACCCTAATTATTTTTACCATCTATCTCTTACCCGTGCCCAAAGATCTGTGTCATAAAATGAACTTCCTAATAAGAATATACATTTTTCTAAAATCGATAAATGAAGTGGCTCATAGATCATGGCTCAGAGAAGCCTGTTACTCTTCTTCACATGGCTTCAAGTTGTTTTATTAGGCATTTATTAAGAACTGACATTTGGCTAGAGCCTATACTAGATGCTTTCACCTCAGTATTCCTAAGAATCCTATGATATTCCACTTTAGAGATTAGGAAAGGGTGCTTTGGCTTCAAGTAAACAGAAACCCAATTTCAAGTGGTTTAAACCAAAAGGAAAGGTATTGACTACAATAACAGTAATCCAGAAGTAGGGTAGACTCTGGATTGGTTGAACCAAATTGAAGAATGTCATTCAGGACTCAATTATTTGTTCACATCTCTGATTTGCCATCTAATGTGCCCACTTCACCCTAAAGCTGGTTTTCCTTTTGGTCAGGATAGTTGCTGCTTGTGACGGAGGTTTCATTCTCTCATTCACATCCAGGAGGAGGGGTTGTTGGCTTTCCATAAAATAGGCCCAAATTAAATCACTGTGGTCATATAATAGGATTCCTCCATTTGGCCTAGACCTATGCCTAGGGATTTGTGATCTAAGAAATATATGAGTAGAATTTGTAAAATTGTTAATTAAATATTCCTTTCCTACTCCCTTTTAAAAGTTGTATATTTTTTAAAGAATGGATACTATAGTTAGCATAGTTAAGAGCTATCATGTCCACAAACCTTATTCAGGTATGGTGACAACTCTATACTATAGTATTTAAAGGAAAAGTGTATTTTAAATTGTTTATTTATGTGTGCTGGTTGCAGAAAAGCTGAATGTTAGGTACAAAGAAAATTTATAGATTGCCTTCAGTTATATTATCAGAAGAGTCTGAAAATAATGAAAATTAAAGGTCAGATGTTTATGATGTTTCATCTGTGCTTTATTTTCTAGGATAAATCTATAAGCACAAGTTTACCTGTCCTAGATTTAATAGATGCCATTGCACCAAATGCAGTTCGTCAAGAAATGATCAAGAGAGGAAACTTATCTGATGAGGACAAGCTGAACAATGCTAAGTAAGCCTTTATGGTTAATATTAGAACACAGTGGCCCTGTAATTCTTTAAAATCCTCATAGGAAAGGTTACTATGCCCTTAAAATTCGTATTTTTAAATACAACTTGTATGGGAATATGATTTATTATTATTTTATTTGTTTATTTATTTAGAGACAGAGTTTCGCTCTTGTTACCCAGGCTGGAGTGCAATGGCGCGATCTCGGCTCACTGCAACCTCCGCCTCCTGGGTTCAGGCAATTCTCCTGCCTCAGCCTCCTGAGTAGCTGGGATTACAGGCACGCGCCACCATGCCCAGCTAATGTTTTGTATTTTTAGTAGAGACGGGGTTTAATCCCCAGCACTTTGGGAGGCCGAGACAGGTGGATCACGAGGTCAGGAGATCCCCATCCTGGTCAACATGGGGAATATGATTTAAGACTCACAAACTTAACCTTTTCATAAAACTAATCTTGTCAAAATATTTCACTCTTTTGTTAAAATATGTTAAGTGAAAACACGGTAGTTAACACCAAGATATTTTTCTTGTCCCTTCAAGATATGCCATTTCAGTTGCTCGAAAGATCGGTGCTCGGATATATGCATTACCTGATGACCTCGTAGAAGTGAAACCAAAGATGGTTATGACCGTGTTTGCATGCTTAATGGGAAAAGGACTGAACAGAATAAAATAATCACTTCATATGATTTTCCGCCACATAAAACATATTCTATGCCTGACAGTTTACAGAATTCTAAAATGTAGTGGGTATAAAACCAGAGATTATTTGTATGCTCAAAATAGTTATATATTCATTAATGGATTCAATATCCTGTTCATACTAGTTACAGCTGCCTTTTTGGATAACACAGTTAATTTACCAGCTGATACAGATAATAGAATATATTCATAATCAAGCTGATACTTCATGATTAAATTATTTTGTTGCTTAAAAGTCTTATTAAGACAAGACTAATTCATTCTTTTTTATAGTTCAAAAAAGATGAATACAAAAGTTTTTGCAGGTTCTGCTGTGAAATTGTTTTGATTTTTGTGTGTGTTAATTTTGATCATAAATGCATTCATACTCATAATCCAGTTTTGTTTGCTTCCTCCAACTATTTAAAGTGGTCCAAAAACACTTTTCTGTAAGTTTCTATACTGTCTAAAACCTTATGGTGACAAGTATTGTTTATTAATATCAAACTTTTTTATATATGAGAACTAATTCTTGAATAAACCCCAAAGTTCACTCTCTTGTTAAGTAGCAGCAGCTTTTTACTTAAAACTTAATTTTAGCTGCATTGATACCTTACATATCCTAGTTTGGTAATACAGCTATAACTGTGACATGTAACATATATATGTTGGTAGGATGTTACTAGAGATATATGTGTGCATATATGTTTTTTCTTTTTTTGCACATGAGTCACCCAGCTTTTTATAAATGGTATATGTAATTAATTGGTCATTCAGCCAACCATCAGTATTTTTCCCCCTCAACATGTGTAACACTTTTCAGTTTGTGGATATCTGATACATTAAGATTTCTTTTTGTAAGTATTCATTTTGAATGTGCATATAGTTATTTGACTCCTTCCAAATACTTGTAGACAAACATTGGCTAGAATATCCCAAGACATGTTGACACTATCAGCTTTGTATTATACTTACTAATTTAGGTCTCTGTAGATGCCCTATATAATTTAGAATATGCCCGCTGAATATCTGTAATAGAAAGTAACATAAAGCTAATATTCATTGTAGAGTATTTACATGTTTTTTTCACAGCCCATTACAAATTGGCAATGTTTGGTTAATGTTTGTGTTACCTGGAAGTAGCTACAGCTTGGACCTATTTTTTTTTTTTCCTGAATTTTTAGCATTAGTCCATTTCTGCTGCTAACAATTGAATCCAGAAATCTACTTCCTCCATCTTCCACTGTTAGTGCCAGTGAGCAATACTGTTGTGCAACAAAAATGTCACTTTATGTCAGTGTGAATGAGTAGTCTAAATTCCCCTACTACCATTGATTTAAACACATATTTTGGTAAGAGTGAGACTGCCCATGTGTTTAGAATTTTTTAAATGAAATAATCAACAGGTGGAATTTTGAAATATATTCTTCTACAAATGAGATTTCTTTCCCTTTTATATTTTGATGATTGCTTTCTTATATGAAGATTAAGATATGTTCTTGCTCTTTTATAAGATTATTTAAATTATGTTTCCTCTGATTTTTTTTCACCATCGTATTTACTAAGTTATCAGATTTACAAGAAATCTGGCACTTTAGGGTGTTCTTTTTCTCACAGAGTATATTTAATAAAAATGCTGTGTATGTAGAAATGTGTCTGTATTTCATTTGAAGAAAAATATTCAGCCTTGAAAATTTGTCTAGCATAAGTTTATTTTCCAGAAAAGAAAACAATTCTTAAACTAGTTAGTAAAACAAAAAAATTGTAGTTCATAATTTCCTTGAAGATGAGGGTAGTTCTTTTGTTCTTAAATATGAAGAATTATTAAAAACCATCTGTGTGATTACTAAAATTTATTTTGTGCTGAAATAATTCAGGTGAATCAATCCATTCACAAATTTATTATCTATTATGATCCAGATACTATGCTAGACACTGTGGATTCAGCTGAGGAAAACACAGATGAAGTCTCCTGACCTCATGTATCATATATTAGTAGAGAGACAGTTGGCAAACAGGAATTTTAGATAGTGATAATGCAGTAGAAGAAATAACATAGGGTAATATGATAGAGACTGACCTGGGAAATGGGGTGGAGATTATTTGTATTTGGGTGGTCAGGAAAGGTGTCTCAGGATATTTGTGCTATGAGTGTTCAGCAGAGAGAACAAATATAAAGAAGCTGAAGCAGGTAGTCCTGTAGGCATCATAGAAGACAAACAGGTGAACGTGGCCTGAGACTACTGAGGGAGGGGCAGAGTCTTGAGATGTAGATGGGGTCTTGGATATTGTAGGACTAGATCTAAATCTGGATTTTTTTTCTTCTCTGGAGTCATGACTGCTCTTTGTATATGGGGTTTTGGTAAGTTGCTTGAAGTAATACACTGTTTCTGAATCTTGGATGCTGTTGTTCATCACAACTTTACCACTGGTCTCTGTATCACTTGTATAGAATAAACTGATAGGTGGCTGGGTGCCATGGCTCATGCTTGTAATCCATGCATTTTGGGAGGCTGAGGTGGGCAGATCACAAAGTCAGGAGTTAAAGATCAGCCTGGCTAACACAGTGAAATCCAGTCTCTACTAAAAATACAAAAAGATTAGCTGGGACTGGTGGCAGGCATCTGTAATCCCACCTACTTGGGAGGCTGAGGCAGGAAAATCACTTGAACCAGGGAGGTGGAGGTTGCAGTGAGCCGAGATCATACCATTGCACTTCAGCCCGGGCGACAGTGGGAGACTCCATCTCAAAAAAAATAAATAACTGAAAGGCTATATAGATTATGTTAAAATATCCCAATATTTTAACATATATCCATTATATCCAGCCATAACATATATCCAGCCATAACATGGCTGGATAGAGTATACCAGGCCAGACATGGTGGCTCATGCCTATAATCTCAGCACTTTGGGAGGCCAACGTGGGAGGATTGCTTGAGGCCAGGAGTTAGAGACCAGCCTGGGCAACATAGATTCTGTTGCTACAAAATTTTATTTATTTATTTATTATTTATTTATTTGACAGAGTCTCTCTCCATCACCCAGGCTGGAGTGCAGTGGTGCGTTCTCAGCTCACTGCAACCTCTGCCTCCTGGGTTCAAGTGATTCTCATGCCTCAGCCTCCTGAGTAGCTGAGATTACAGGTGTGCATCACCATGCCTGGCTAATTTTTGTGTGTGTTTTTAGTAGAGACAGGGTTTCACCATGTTGGCCAGGCTAGTCTTGAACTCCTGACCTCAAGCAATTCACCCACCTCAGTCTCCTATGGTACTGGGATTACAGGCATGAGCCACTGGGTCCAGCCCTCCATTTTTTTTTTTTTTTAAATTAGATGGGTGTGGTGGTGTGCACCTGTAGTCCTACCTACTCAGGAGGCTAAGGTGGGAGGATTGTTTGAGCCTGGGAGTTCAAGGTTACAATGAGCTATGATTGCACCATTACACTCCAGCCTGGGTGACACAGCAAGATGCTGTCCCTTAAAAACAACAAAATGTGTACCAGATAGGTAAGAGAGGATTTCCGCATCTGAGATGATCCAAAAAGACTTCAAAAGAATAGGATGCAGTTGCAATATTGCCTCACTTTGAAGTAGGAACAGCCCCTTGACCCCCAGCACTTTGAAAGCCCTCCTGCTAGGATTATCTACTAAAGTAGGTTGGGATTCTCCAGTCTTAGAAATTAATCTAGCCCCTATGGGAGTCCTCTGGATAAAGAATCACCTAAGCCCAGCAACTTGCAAATGCTTCAGATTAAAGTGAAGCTGTAGCTACTTTGTGCTCTGTCTCACTTGCTCTCTTGCTAGATCACATGTGCAACATAGTTCTGAGCCATCTAAATTTTTACCCTCAAACACTGGAAGTTTTGGGTACATTAGGGTCAGCGTTTTTCTGCTACTGACTAAATTTTTTGCTGTACTACAGAGAGTCTAAGCACACATGCATAAATACAAATATGTGCCACTGTTCACTGGCCACAAATTTACAATGAACAATCTTGACATTTCCACCACGTAGACAAACTTGGAACTGTATTAAACATTACAAAATGGGGAATATTTACTATCTACCAGAGATAAGACACACACAAAAAAACAAAAACAATAGATTATCAACTGTTTCGAAGTAAATACATGAAAATGTTTGGAAAAATGGACAGTCCTGGCATCTGCTAAGGCCTCTTAGAGAAGACCTGATAAAGACTCTGAATTATGAGAAAGTTGTATTTAGGAAATTTGGGAGTTAAAGTGTTAAGCTGAGACAGGGATGGGATATACCAGCCTGAACAGGATAGGAACTATTTCCCCAAAATATAAAATACTCTGAAGTAAACTTTTATGTATTCTCTTAAAAACCTAAAACCTTAAAGGCACTTAAATCGGCAAGAAAAAAAACAAGCCATCCCAACAAAAAGTGGGCTAAAAACATGAATAGGGGCGGGTATGGTGGCTCACGCCTGTAATCCCAGCACTTCGGGATGCCAAGGCAGGTGGATCACCTGAGGCTGGGAGTTGGAGACCAGCCTGACCAACATAGAGAAACCCTATCTCTACTAAAAATACTAAATTAACTGAGTGTGGTGGTGCATGACTGTAATATCAGCTACTCAGGAGGCTGAGGCAGGACAATCCCTTGAACTCTGGAGGCAGAGGTTGTGGTGAGCTGAGGTCATGCCATTGCACTCCAGCCTGGACAACAAGAGCAAGAATCTGTCTCAAAAACAAAAACAAAAACAAAAGCAAAAACAAAACATACAACCAAACAGAAAAAAAAACAACAAAAACCCCCAAAAACATGAATAGACAATTCTCAAAAGAAAATATACAAATGGCCAACAAACATGAAAAAATGCTCAACATCACTAATAATCAGGGGATTGCAAGTCAAAACCACAGTGCAATACCACCCTACTCCGGTAAGAATGGCCATAATCACAAAATAAAAAAAAAATAGATGTTAGTGTGCATGGGGTAAAAGGGGAACACTTCTACACTGCTGATGGGAATGGAAACTAGTACAACCACTATCGAAAACAGTGTGGAGATTCCTTAAAGAACTAAAAGTAGAACTACCATTTGATGCAGCAATCCCACTACTAGGTATCTACCCAGAGGAAATTGTCATTACACGAAAAAATCCTTGCACATGCATATTTACAGCAGCACAATTCACAACTGCAAAAATGTGGAACCAGCCCAAATGCCCACCAATCAGTGAGTAGATAAAAAAAACTGTGGTAGATATGAGATGGAATACTACTCAGCCATAAAAAGGAATGAATAAATGGCACTGGCAGTAACCTGGATGGATTGGAGACTTATTCTTCGTTAAGTAACTCAGGAATGGAAAAGCAAATATATTCACATATTCCCACTCATATGCGGGAGCTAAGC